GACCAGGCAGTGTTTCGTTCTGTTGTACAGAGTCGCTGTGAGTCGGAACTGACTCGACAGCACCTAACAACAACGACAACAAACAGAAATTCAGTACCCCTTAAGCAATAACTCCCTTTATCTTCCTTCTCCCAGCCCCTGGTAATCACAAATAAACTTTGTCTGTATGCATTTGCCAATTCTAGATAATTCATATAAGCAGGATCATACAATACGCGTCCTTTTCTGTCCAGCTTATTTCACTCAGTATAATGTTTTCAAGGTTCATCCATGATACGGAGTATATCAGAACTTAATTTCTCTGTATGGATGGATAATATTCAATTGCATGGATATACCACATTTTGTTTATCCATTCATCCGTTGATGAACACTTGGATTGTTTCTACCTTTTGGTTATTGTGAATAATGCTGCAGTGAACATTGCTGTACAAGCGTCTGTTTGAGTGCCTGCTTTCAAGTCTTCTGGGTATATACCTAGGAGTGGAATTGCTGGGTCATATGGTATTTCTATTTTTAACTTTTTAAGAAGTGCCAAAATATTTTCCACAGCGGCTACACCAATTTACATTCCCATCGGCAGTGGATAAGGGTTCCGATTTCTCTACATCCTCACCAACAGTTGCTATTTTCTGATGATAGCCATCCTAATGGATGTGAAGTGATACCTCATTGTGGTTTTAATTTGCATTTCCCTAATGACTAAAGGGGAAACCCTGGTGGCGTAGTGGTTAAGTGCCGCCACTTAACCAAAAGGTCAACAGTTCAAATCCACCATGCACTTCTTGGAAACTCTATGGGACAGTTCTGCTCTGTCCTATAGGGTTGCTATATGAGTCGGAATCAACTCAATGGCAACAGGCTTTGGGCAATGACTAAAGGAGCCCTTGTGGTGTAATGGTTAGGTGCTCAGTTGCTAACCACCAGCCAATTCACAGGAGAAAAGACCTAGTTATCTGCTCCCATAAAGATTACAGCCTAGGAAACCCTATGGGGCAGTTCTACTCTGTTGTATAGGGTGGCTAAGAGTCAGGATTGACTCAATAGCACACAACAACAACAATAACTAATGACATTCAGCATCTTTTCATGTGCTTATTGGCCGTTTCTTTGGTGAAATGTTTATTCTAGTCTTTTGCCCATTGTTTGATTGGGTTGTTTGTCTTTTTGTTGAGTTGTATGAGTTCTTTATATATTCTGGATGTTAAACCCTTATCAGATATAGGAACCACAAATATTTTCTCCCATTCTATAAGTTGCCTCTTCACTTTCTTGATAAAGTCTTTTGACACACAAAGGTTTTTGATGAAGTCCATTTGATCTATTTTGTCTTTTATTGCTCATGCTTTCAGTGTCATATCTAAGAATCCATTGTCAAAAACTAGGTCTTGAGGATTTACCCCTATGCTTTCTTCTAAGACTTTTATGGTTTTAGTTCTTATGTTTAGATCCTTGATCCATTTTGAGTTAATTTTCATACATGGTGTGAGGTAGGGGGTCCAACTTCATTCTTTTACATGTGGATATCCAGTTGTCCCGGCACTATTTGTTGAGGAGACTATTCTTTCCCCTTTGGATGGACTTGGTAACCTTGTTGAAAAATCAATTGACCACAGATGTATGAGTTTATTTTTTGGATTCTCAATTCTATTCCATTGGTTTATATGTCTATCCTTATACAAGTACCAGACTGTTTTGATTACTGTACCTTTATAGTACATTTTGAAATCTGGAAGTATGAGTTCTCCTACTTTGTTATTCTTTTTCAAGGTTGCTTTGGCTATTCAGGGTCCCTTGCAATTCCATATAAATTTAAGGATTAGTTTTTCCATTACTGCAAAGAATGCTTTGGAATTTTGACAGGGATTGCATTGAGTGTATAGATCTGTAGACTCTATAGATCACTTTGGGTAGTATTGACATCTTAATATAATAAAATATATTAACTCTCTTAATTCATGAACACAGGATGTCTATTTAACTGTTCTTTAATTTATTTTCAGCAATGTTTTATAGTTTTCAGTGTACAAGTCTTTCACCTCCCTGGTTAAATTTACTCCTAGGTATTTTATTCTTTTTTATTGTTGTAGTTTAAGTGAAAGTTTACATTTCAAGTTAGTCCCTCATACAAAAATTTATACATACATTGTTATGTGACCCTAATTACTCTCCCTATACTGTGACAGCACACTCCTCCTTTCCACCCAATTTCCCGTGACCATTCAACCAGCTCCTAACCCTCTCTGCCTTCTCATCTCACCTCCGGACAGAAGCTGCCCATTTAGTCTCATGTATCTACTTAAGCTAAGAGGCACACTCCTCACGAGTATCATTTTATTTCCCACAGTCCAATCCAGTCTTTGTCTGAAGAGTTGGCTTCAGGAATTGTTTTAGTTCTGGGTTGACAGAGAGTCCAGGGGCCATGTTATTTTATTCTTTTAGATGCTATTGTCACCCCAAGTTTTTATCGAGTCCCCTTTGCCATCTGTTGAGAAGGTCTTGTGCCTTTCTCTTCCTTGTCCTGTAAATGAGCATTTTGGCTGTGTGCGTCTAGTGAGCCCCTTCCCCTACAGTATTGTATACAGTCTCCAAGGGCTCATGTCTTTCTTTATTACCCTGGGGTGGGGCTGGTCTCAGGGCCAGGGCAGCTGCAATAAGGCTTTGGGCTAGGGCTAAGGATACTTTTGAGGAAACCACTCTCTCCCATCTCAGAGGGAGGGACATGAACTCAGAAACTGGTCTTTGGACTCTGGCCAGAGCATCCCCAACAGGCCTCTCCCATAATAAAGTGGGAGGTCACAGCCACGAAGGGCAGTGTTTCTGTGGGGGCATATGCCCCACAGATACCCTCAGATGGCAAATGCAGAAGAAGGGCTGAAGCTTGTGATGCCCTTGTGGTCTCTCCCTACCAATCCCATCTGATCCCATGTATGCCTATAAGGTTAGCATGACCTCTCACCTGAAGTCCAGGTCAAGTGAGACTTTGCTCTGATGTGTGTGCCAGAGAGCTCCATCTGGGCCGTGCTGGGCACCAGGAGGTGGAAAAATCAGCTCCCGCTTTAGGCAACTGGGCGCTCCGTGACCCTCTATCCCTAACCCCTCCCCTCCCCCCAGCTCTGATATCTGGAAGGGACACTGGCCAGGGAATGGGCCTAGCCTTCCTGCTCCTCCATTTTGCCCTGACCTCTGAGCTGGGCATGGCTAAAGAGGGAGCCCCTCTCCAGGACACACCTGGGCTGGTGCCATCCCTGAAGGTATGACCCTGCCTCTTCACAGAAGTAGCTTCTGTTTGCATAGCCCTGGCCCAACTGCACAAACAGAGCCAACACTGCTGGCTTTGGAGAAGCTGTGGAAGATGGCTGAGGCAGAAGGCAAGGCTGGACTGGTTGGGAGAGTAAGCAGCTGACTCTCAACCATAGATGTGGCCAGAGAGAGGGCTCAGCAACAGCTGAGGACTAGGAGTGTCAAGGTAGGACTTCCTGATTCCACCCCCTGAGACCTTGGCCCTTGGAAGCCCACCCTAGGGGCTAGCCTCAGAAAAGCAGGAGCGTTTGAAGCTCCTGCTGGACACCTTGCCTATGTTTAAAGGTACTGAAGACCCTGCCATCAGTGCTGGGGCCCTGGGAGGCTCAGGGGCACCAGGAGGAGGGACCTGGGTAAAGTGGGCTTTGGTCTTTAGGAGGGTCCCAATCCATCTGTATAGGCAGGGAAACAGAGCATCCAGAGGATCCTGGGGTTATATGAGAGGGAGGAGGGCCAGAGCCCAGTCCACAAATGAAGCATCCAGCCGCCCTCCTGTGACTGCCCATAGACCTCCTCCTGCCCCTAGCTGGCAAATTTAGTACCATTGCACATATTACCGTCCAAGAGCTGCAGCAGTAGTCTGCCGCCTGGCTCAGGCCCTGACCCAAGTGCAAATGGCCCCACCATCTCATCCATAAACTAGAGCTCCCACACTGGCTCCCAAACTGGATTTGGGGGGCCCTGACATATGGGGCTGCCAGAAGTTACAGTCAGCTCGACTGCAACTGGTTTACTGGTTGACCAAGAAGGATATTTGGTCATAGCTGTGGAGACCATGCTGACCCCTCACCTGAAATCACAGACACCTAGGGTTCATCTTGACCTGTGTCCACTCATCTGGTGCTGCTTGGGCAGTGGGCTCTGGAGCTGCCACTTTGGCCCCATGGCACAAGTGGGAAGACTGAGGTCCTGGTCTTCTAGGTAAAGGTCAAGGATTCTGGGTGGAGTTCAAACCGGTGGTAGAACTTTCTGGTTCTGCCTCTGAGGGCCTCAGACTGGGTCATGCATTTTCACCACACCATGCACACATGCATGAGCAAGTACACTCAGGCACATGCTGTTGTGCTGGAGCTCACAGACTAGCCCCTCCCCACCATGCACAGCCGTGGGCCAGTGTGCACACCTGCGATGACATGTACACACTGGCCTTCCACACCATGTGCAGTGGGCCCCATTCTCGGGAAGGGAGGAGGGCCTACTGTCCCCAGAAGAGGTACTCCTGCTGCACAGCAAAGGGGCTCCCCTGCCAACACCCCTGTGGCTGGAGGTGCTGCCCTTCTGCCTTATGGGCAAGTGGCTGGGAATGACGTGGGCCTTGTCAGTGCCCGGGGAAGGACCAGAGGGTAGAGGATGACTTGGGCCTTGCCAGACGGCCCACCCAGAAGATGGTGCATCACCAGGTCCCTTCAAAGCAGGTGTCAGTTGAGGCTCCCAATCCAGTCTTGGCTGGGCTTCCGTGAGGTCCTGACTGAGGTCGTAACAGAAGGTACCTCTGCTCCCCAGACACAGGCAGAGACCTGGGTGGGTTTGGTGCGGTCCCCGCGGTCACCACCTCCAGGCAGCCCTCCCTGGTGCCCAGCCTGTCCCACCCCTAGACTTTGCAAGGCTGGGGGAAACGGGGTCTCGAGGGTCAAAGGTCACCAGGGTGGGCCGGGTCCCGGAAGCGGAAGCACGGCGCACTTCCGGCGCGCAGCGGGCGGCCATGTTGGAGCGGCGGAGGCGGCGCAGAGGCGCGTCCTGGGTCCCCGCGGCGGCGCCGGTAGGTTGGGGCCGCGGGCCTAGCCCTGCCGCGGAGTGGCAGTCTACGGGGCAGCAGGGCGGACGGGCCAGCCGAGACTTCCCAGACCCCAGCCCTCCGGCAGTCCAGCCGAGACACCCCACCCCCACCCCGTGCCCAGCGGCCCCACCCTGGCTCCGCGCGGCCCCAGACGGGCTGACACCATCTACCCCGTGCATTCTGCAGCCGTCGGGACCCCTGCCGCCAGCCGCGGCTCCGGCCCCAGGGATGCAGACCCCCACCCCGAGGGCCCCACTTGAATGGGGCATCTCCCGTCCTCCATCTTCTGTTAATTTCCCCTGCTGGCTCTGGGGGCATGTGTGAAGGGAAGTCGGGGTCCCGGCTGCAGCCTCTGTTCCCAAGGCCTCTTGGATGGCCCAGAAGACCCCTCTCGAGGGCCCAGACCGGTCTGGGCGGAAGAACCCCAGCCCCCCCTTGATATCTGGGGCGGGGGCGGGAAGCAGGCCTCTGTACAATTCACAGCCCTGGGAACTACACCCCTTCCCCCCAGAAAAATCAAATAAAGAAACTAAAATCACGTGGAAGGATTGTGCTCTCGAGAGGGGAAGTGCCTGAGACACCAGAGGATCCAAGAATGTTTCCAAACAAAGAGCCCCAGGGCACTTTCTCCAGGGAATTCTGAAGACTTCCTCTGCCCCATTAGGGCCGTGGGAAGAAGCCGTGCAGACGCACCTCCTGGCCCCAGGGATTTGCCAGATCCCAGCTGATCTTTTAATGCTCCAGGTGCAGCCGGGAAGCTGCCTCTTGCCTCTGGGAGCCCTCCAGTGCTGGCTTGGGCGGTAGTATTAGTCATGATTGATGGCCACAGCTTCTTCAGAGAGGTGTGGGATGACTTATAGAGTGTTCCCAGAGAGCTCCATTTGGACTGTACTGAGGTCTGCCCTAGTTAGTTAGGACAGCTCAGACTTCTGCTATCCACTTGACTCACCATCCTACTTGGAGCCTTTTACTCCCATTGTCCTCAGATCCTAGGCCCTTTGTCTACCCCCAGGCCACCCCATTGTCTATTGTCAGTGGCCCCTGCTGCTCATCAGCTGTTTTCTGTTGAAGGAGACTCTGGCTCTTTCCCTGGGGTTAGTCTCTGACTCTAGGGCTAGGAATTGGGCTGCTGAGTGGCCTATATGCGGACTCTGAAGGCAGAACCTTCGGTGGGCAAGGAGATCTCCCATGGACACCTGAACAGCAGTAGCTAGAGGAACAGCAATGGGCATGGTTGGCCAGCATTCAAGGCTCTTTGCTGTCCTGTTCTCACCTGTTTTTCCAGCTAGACCACCAGCCCTGACCCTAGTTTCCAGCCATATCAGAATGCCTTACTCTTACATTGGAGCCTTTGCACAAGCTATGCCCCTTTTTGTCCCATTTCTATCCAGTCCTCTCCCAGTCATCACTCGTCCTAGTTAGACCTTCTCTCTTCTAGGAATCCTTTCCTGATCCACTGACAAGCTATGCTGGGTGCCACCATTTAGTTCCAAGAACCTGTAATGGTGGTTCTGTCTTGCCTTTTGGACTGGGCTTCTTTGAAGATAGGGATATTCACCTGTGTTCCCAGACCTGAGTGCAATACTATATTTTTGGCCTTAGAAAATACAGAATTGAATTCAAATCGGGCAGGCTCAAATCTTTTCCAGGGGCCTGACAGGTTGGATGGCTCTGAGGAGTTTATAGGTATGTATCCTGAAGCGACTGCCTCTGACCCAGGAAGTGGCTCACTCTGGCTGGGCCTTTAAATGTTAGTGGGTGATGTCATGGAGAGAGTGGGCCCTGACTGACCTGTCTACCTGCCCTGGCTCCCTATTTCAGTGCCATTCTCATTGACTTTTCCTCTTGCCTTGGAGGTGCTGAGCGCTGGTTTGCGGACACCCAGGCAGATCTGCAGTGCCTAATGCCATGAGCGTGGTGGTGCAGCATGTGGAGGAGAAAGCTGTGCATTCTTGGTCGCGCATCTCCACGGCAGGGAAGAAGGCCCTGGAGGAAGCGCTGCTTGTCTTTAACCCCATGAGCCAGGATCTCAGTGCTACAGAGGCCCAGCTTGTAGCGTTCCTACAGGGATTGCGGGATGATGGCTTCCAACCTACCGTCTTGCGCAGTGGTGATGTCTATGGCTACAGTTCATGCACAGCTAATCCCCCAAGCCAGACAAAGCTACAGGCTCGTGCCCCAACCCCAGCTGCAACATCACCTCCAGCTCGTGCTCCCCGAACTGCCATGCGGCTGCCCGCAGGCCGGGCCACGCTGCTTCCCATGCCACTTTCCAGCAGGCTGGCCAAAGCATCCACACCAACCCTCGCCAAGCATGCTACTACCAACCTGCTGCTGAGTTCCCTAAAGCAGTCAAGTGCTAGCCGGGCCCGGGGTGCAGCAATGGGCTTCCCTGCTCACCTCTATCCAGGCGTTTACCCTGCCATGCGGCTCTCTGTTGTCCTGGAGGCCCTGGTTCCACTCAAGACTCCCATGCCCTGCTTGGGGGCCAAGCACAAGGCGCAGTCATTGCAACTCTCACTTGCAGACTCTCCCTTGAAGCTGCGGAAGGGTTCAGGGAATGCCCTGCCCAAGGCTCCCAGAAAAATGACAAGCAAGGGCCCCAAGTGTCTGATCCTCAAAGGCCCCAGGGCCGGGCCCCGACGAGGCACTGGGCCCCAGAGCAAGACCTGCAAAGCCGCTGGGTCGCTCAGTGGCCTGCAGGTGAAAGGGGGCTCTGCCTTGGGCACGAAAACAGCCCAGGCCAAGGCAGCTCGAACACTGGCCAAAGCTGCCCGTACCCAGGCCCGGGCTGCTCGAACACTGCCTAAGACTGCCTCAGCCAAGGTGGCTCAGACACAGACCAAGGCAGCCCAGGCCAAGGTGGCCAAGGCCCAGGCCAAAGCCAAGGTGGCACAGGCCAGGGCCAAGGCCAAGGTGGCGCGAATCAAGGCCAAGGCTAAGGCGGCAAGGATCAAGGCCAAAGCAGCGCGGGCCAAGGCCAAGGCAGCCCGGGTCAAGGCCAGGGTGGCACGGGCCAAGGCCAAGGCAAAGGTGGCGCGGGCCAAGGCCAAGGCAGTGCGGATCAAAACCAAGGCCAGGGTGACTCAGACCCAGCCCAGGAGTAGAGGCAGGCCCAAGGGATCTGTTCAGGCCCAGACTGCAAGGGAGGGCCAGAAAAGCTGCCCTGAGACTATGGGACAGAAGAGAAAAAGGGCAGAGGAGGCAAAGGAGCTTTCTCCCCGGAAGAGAACACGGCTTGGGCCTCGATCCCCTAAGGCGTGGCTAGAGTCTGGCACAGCAAAGCTGCTGAAATTCTGGGCCATCAAGGTGGACCGCCGGTCTTCGGATGATGAGGTGCGGCAGCGGGCTCAGCAGATCCTCCATGTGAACCTGTCCCCGGTGATACAGCTCCAGCCGCTGCTGCCATACTCAGCACCCTGACTCCTTCACACAGCAGTGTTTGGGGAGACTGAGCTCAGCTGCCTGTGTGGCCAGCAGCACAGTGTGCAATGCCCATGGACTCCACAGCCCTGAGGACTCCGGGTGCCTCTTCAGGGCCCTGGCGGCCTTTCAGAGACTGGAGGATGTGGGGTGGGGTGGGTGGGAGGGGTGTTCTCATGGCGCGATGCACTGTGACTTGTTTTTCTTCAAGTTGTATGTCCACTGTTCCATCGATCACGTTTTATACCTTTCCACTGCTCGGTCTCCCTGCCCAGCCTTCATGGTCTTTTTTGTGTGCATGGCTACTGGCAGGCCAGCTTGAGCAGATGGGGAAGGTGATTCCAGGAACAGGCCCGCTGGAGAGGGTCCTGGTAGCCTGGCATAGGTCATTGATGTGAGTGATGGGATGATGTGGGAGGGGGCAGCTCCCAGGCCTCTCTGGAGAGGTGGGAGACAACGTGGGTGTAGCACTGGCACTTCCCTGGCCTCTGTGGGTGTGGGGGGGGGCATCCCACTGAGGGCAGGGACAGAACCACTCATTCCCTTTGAGGCTTCCCTGATCTGGGATCCAGATAGGCCCCTTGCAGGAGGGTGATAAGCAGTCTGTAGGGAACCTTTTGGCCAGCCAGTTTTCTAGGGCGGGGAAGGGGGCTTTGTGGCACTGTTCCTCAGGGGCCCAGCAGACGGCCTGGCCTTGTCCTCCAGCCAGCTCTGGCTGCAACCTTGAGGCGTTGCCCAGGCTTGTCTGGGGCATGGCCAGGCCTAAACCAGCTGAGGTGCTTCTGCCTCTCCTCCCTCCTGATCTCACAGGAGAATGACTAGCCTCAGCTTCCTCAGTCAGTGGCAGGGGACTGGAGGTTGAGTCAGGGGCCAGGACTCTGGGTTAGGGGGCCACAGAGGCTGCTCCAACTGACCAAGGAGCCAGGAGAGTTTCTGCGACTGCCTACCTCCATCAGCAGTGCTTCCTGCCTGGGCTTCATGTGCTTTGTCTTACTACCAAATCCTGCCACCCAGCCTCAGTATGCCCCTCCAGCAGACCCGAGGAGGGGCTTGTATGTTAGAGCTGAATTACCCCTTCCTGCTTTGGGGAGGGGGCAGGGCCCTGAGCCCTGAATGAAGTTAGCTGCGCTGCCCATCTGCCAGTCTTTCCCTGGCTGCCCAGGCTGAATGGCGGCCGCTGGGGTGGGTGAGGAGGAGGACATTCCCTAGAGGTGCCTGGAGAGGAGCAGCCTTTCAGGGCTGGGGGTGGGAGCATCATTTGAATGAGAATCAGATCCTTTCTGCCTCTTTGGGTTTGTCTGAACCTGGGCCCCACTAGCTGGGCCCCCGCTAGCGCCAGCTCCCGTGGATGGTGGACCTGCGGAGAGGCTCCGCATGCTTCTTGGTGCTCCCCCTTTTCTTCTGCATCTGGTGGCTGCTATTTACATCGTCTCCTGGGTGCATACCCCCCTCCACGGCTCCCCAGGCTCGGGACTCCCTTGCTCCCAGCTGCACTGTAGCCCTACCACCCTACATGCTCCTTGCCTCTGGCAGCTCTGCTTCCACCCACAATGTGAGTACTGGGGACAACCTGGGTGCCACACTCAGCTGGCAGGGCTGACCCAGCTTGCAGCCCACTCTGCATCCTCTCTCAGGCCTGATTCCAGTGCCCAGTGCCCAAGACCTCCAGCCAGTCTGGGCCCCATCCTTCTAGTTCTGCTACTGTCATGGATAAGTGAGGGGTCAGCTCTTTTGCAGAGAGCCAGTCAGAGGAGGGAGGAGAAATCTCCAGACCTCTCTGTGCGGTGGGGGGGTGGAGTACTTCTAGGACATCTACTCAAGCCCTGCCCTCCCAGTCCAGGTTCCCAGAACCATTGGCCAGCAGGTGCCAGACATACGTTTGCTCAAGTGGCAGCTGCCACCCGCCCTCTGGAAACCTGGTTGTTGGCTGTGGCGGAAGCGTTTGAGCCTCATCTACCTGTGTGTGGCGTCCGTGGCCCTGAGTCCTACTGTGTTAATCAGCTGCCTGCAGGTTGGGAGGAGGGTTGGGGTTTTGGAGACTCTGGAGTATGTGGATGGTGGTGTTGGGGTGTCCTGGACAGGTTCAGCCCTGTGAGGGTCAGGTCACTTCTGGAGGCTGGAGGGAGAGGCCTGCACTGTTGAGATTTTGGAGTGGGGGCTGACCTTGCACCTCCTGCCCAGTCAGTCTATTTGGCCCCTCCCCAGGAGTCTGAGAATTGCTTCTTCTGTGACTCTTGAGCTCAGCGAGGCCACAGCATTGAGAACGTGATCTCCCGGAGTGGCCGTGGTGGCGAGAAGACCTGGTGGCAGGCAGAGGGGTGAGGGTGCCGGTGGGCCCGTATGTATGGGTCTGGGGTCAGGGCTCAGTCCCTCTGACCAGTCCTTTTGGCTGCAGGTGTCGAGAATGTCACCATCCAGCTGGACCTAGATGGTGCCTTCTACTTTACCCACCTTGTCATGGCTTTCAAAGTGACCCAGTGCCCCATCCTGAAGGCTTGCTGAGCAAGCTCTGACCCCATGGCCTCCACACCTGATGGCCACTAGTGACTCTTGCCCCTGATGACTGAAGGGCGCCTCCCGTCCCCAGACATTCTGCCCAACAGCTCTGCTCCTCAAGCGCTCAGGGAACCATGGCCACTCCTGGCACGTGTATCGATACTTTGTCCACAATCGCTCGGGCCTCTTCCCTGGGATCCCTCCTGCACCTGGCCACAGGGTCAGTGACCTCATCTGTGACCAGCGCTACTCGGACATGGAACCTTCCACTGAGGGCGAGGTCAGACCCACAGTGACAGGGAGTAGGGTCCTGTGGTGAAGTCAGAGTCTTAGGCCTGCTTCTTCCCCTCAGGTAATCTTCAAAGTGCTAGACTCAGCCATTCGAATGGAGGACCTAAACAGTCCCCAGATTCAGGGTAATCATCCCCCATAGCCAATCCTGTACCCCTTGCGTGTCAGGTTAGAGCCAGATACTGGGAGGAAGTGAGGCCCTGCCCCGGGGGTGTGCACCAGTGGGGCAGAGGGGGCTGGCAAGCCAGCTCAGTCCCCCAGGCTCATCCCTTCATCCCCAGCACTATCCCATCACTGTCCCCCATCAGGCTCCTCTATTGCAGTCCTGTTTTGTGGCCCTTCCCTGTCCCATTACTGTTTCTCATCTCTGCCCCCTAGTGTAAAGGGACTGGGATGGGGAGCAGTCCCCATCTCTGTCCCTTATCCCCGCCCTATTGCTGAACCCCTTCATGGAACCCCATTACTGCTCCCCATGCCGGCCTGCATCACCATTCCCCATCTCTGCTCCCATCATTGACTCTCATAACCTTCCCCTTTGTGGGCCCCATTTGCCAATGCTGCTCCTCATCACTGTCATTGCCCCCCTCTGATTCACAGCCACGGCCTCTGTTGGTGCCCTTCGTCCCTGCAGCTGCCTCTAGGTGGCACCAAGGTGTCTTTGGATTTGTCCCCTTCCCTGAAAAGCAGAAGTCTTTTGTTAAAGGGGAAACCCTGGTGGCGTAATGATTTAAGAGCTACATCTGCTAACCAAAAGGTCAGCAGTTCAAATCCACCAGGCGCTTCTTGGAAACTCTATGGGGCAGTTCTCCTCTGTCCTATAGGGTCGCTATGAGTCAGAAACGACTCGATGGCAATGGGTTTGGTTTTGTTAAAGGACAAGAGAGCCACATAACCATAACCTAGCTGGGCAGCCCAGAGCCAGGCCAGGAGGGTACCAGAGCAGGAGGACAAACCCCAAACTAGCTTTTTCTCTACATCTGCGGGGTGCTTTCCACCCACCTTGACGATGGGCATAACTGACTGCTCACCCTAACCCCCACGCTGGCTCTCCGGGCAGCTGCTTGTACCTCCACTCGGGATAGACAGGAGACCTGGCAGAGGGGAGACGCAGGAGGTAGTCTCGGCTTGGTAACTAAATTGCTCTGTGGAGCAGGGAGAGGAGGCCTGGACCTATCTCTCCATCCATGTGTTCATTTAACAAATGCCCCTTGAGCCCTGCCCTATGCCAGGCATCGTGGGCAGTGATCTGTGGGGAGCAGACAAAGTAGCTGTCTTCTTGGAGCTGACAAAATGAGAAAGACGTTTGCTAAATAAGCAAAGAAACTAATACCTTATGCCATTCGACTAGATGATGAGCAGATTTCTAGTTTGGATGACAGGCTAGGGAGTGGAATTCTTTACTGCTTTGAGAAAGTAGGTTTGAAGTACCTGGAGACACCAGAATGGGGTGTCCAAGAAGTAGTGGGATGTGCAGGTCTCAGCCCAGCAGTGACATTGGGACGGGCAAAAGGAATCTTCAGTATAGAGGCGGGACTCTCACTGTGGGGAGGCTGTTGTCATCCTGGGAGAGGAGAGTGCCCCTAGGGGAGCAGAGATCAGGGAGCCCCACAGCATTGGTGCTGGAGGAGGTGGCTGCAAGGATAGGGAGGAAATTCTCCATTCTCCTCCATCCCATCTGTGGAAGGGTGACGACCAAGGCACCTGAGGTCTGACTGTGTGTCCCCAGAGCTCCTGCACGTGACCAACCTCAGTGTGAACTTCTCCAAACTGCACATGTTGGGTGACAGGCCCCTAGGGGGCCTCAAAGGGACAACCTTTCTACTATGCCATTTATGAGCTTGTGGCCTGGGGCAGCTGCTTGTGCCAGGGCCACACGTCTGAGTGCAGGCCCGCACCAGGGGCCCCAGCCAGTGTGGAAGGCATGGTGAGAGCCATGGGAGGGGCATCCTGTGACTGGTGGGGTGGGCAGGCTGGAGGACTCAGGCAGACACATCCTACCTTCCTCCCTGCCAGGTGCATGGCCTCTGTGTCTGCTGCCACCGTACAGCTGGTGCCAACTGTGAGTGCTGCCAGGACCTGCACCAGGACCACCCATGGTGTGCAGCAGAGCCTGGGCACCCCCATGCCTGCCTGGGTAAGTGCCATACCCTATTCCGCTGTGTCAAGCCCTATCCTGCCCGGCCATACCTGTCACGGGTTAGCCCACCCCATATCTACCACCTGTCTGCCCCAGAATGCGAGTGCCATGGGCATGCCCGCAGCTGCCACTGACATAGCCATATATCTGGCATCTGGCAATGCGAGTGGAGGCATATGTGATGCATGTCAGCACAACACAGCTGGGCGCCACTGGCAGCTCTGCTGGCCCTTCTTCCACCGTGATCCCTGGCAGGATCCCCGTTCCCCTCGCTCCTGCAGATGTGAGTCCTCTAACCCCGATCCCAACTCTGATCATGATTCTTCAGCTCCATGGTGACCTCTGACCTAACTCTGTCCTCACCTCTGACCCCTGAATAGCTTGCATCTGTGACCCCGCGGGTGCTCTGGAAGGGAGTTTGTGTGATACCTGTACAGGCGAGACCCGTGGCCTCTCTGGGCAATGTCACTGCAAAAGTCACGTCTGGGGCCAACGCTGTGACTCCTGGCAGCTGGGTCACTATGGCCTGAGCCCCACCCAGTCAGAAGGCTGCCAGCGTGAGTGACCCTACGTCCTCCCTGCTCTGCCCCAAATCACTGCCCTGATGACACATGCATCACCCCCAGTAGCCCCACTAGCACCCTGAGAGCACTGTGCCTTAGCCTGCAGGTGTGACCCCTGCGGCTTGGTCCCTGGCACTCATGCCTTTGAACCCTCCAGTGGCATCTGCCACTGCAAACACTTTGTCTCTGAACAAGGCTGCAGCTGATGTCTGGTGAGCCTTGATCAATCCCGATTTGACTTTGACCTTGAGTGCTGAGCTTCTAGTAGCTGACGATTATAAAGCTGTGGTCAACGTGACTACAGTCTGAGCCTTGCTCATGGGTGGGTGCCAAGGCCCTGATCTGGTCACCAGAGTCAGTACCACCTTGGCTAACTGAACCATCATATGCCCTCAAGAGGGAGCTTTGGGAGCATAAGAAGGGAAAACGATTAGATAGGTCATAACAGTATTACATACTGGGTTTAAAGATGTTTCATTGCAAACATGTTTGGAGGAAGACTCATTCCCAGGGACAGCTTGGTCCGCTTCTAGCCTCTCCTTGAACACTATGAACTCTTGGTTTAATTTTTGTTTAACCTGGCTGTATCCTTGTCTCTTTCTTGCCTCCTCTGAGTAAAGATGTACAGAGCTGCACCAGGGTTTCCTTTCTCCCCTTCATTTGCAGGCAGAGGAGCATTCAAGCCCAGCCGCCCACTCCCTCCTTGTTCCCTTCCCACCCCCTAACCCCAACCCCTGCACCAGACAGTCCTAGTACATCACCACTCCTCCCAGGAGGCAGGTCCCATCCAGATCCCATTGCCTGTCTTCCCCCCTCAACCAACCACTCTCTCCTGCAGCCCGAGTTCTGGGGTCTGAGCAGTGACCCCCCCAGGCTGCCAGCCCTGTGACTGTGACTTTGGGGGTGCCTACAAGAACAGGTACAGGGCAGGACCTGAGGGTCAAGGGTCAGGCAGTGGAGATCAGGAGTTGACCTGGCCCCCTCATCCGTCCCCACACTCACTCAGGTGTTCTGCAGGGGAGGGCCTCTGCCTGTGCCGCCCTCACCTCCGCGGCTGCCGCTGCCATGAACTCCAATCTGGGCATTTCTGCGCTGTCCTGGACCAGGCCACGACTGAGGCTGAGCTTGGCCAGGGTCTCCAGCCAGCTGACCCCCAGCTGCCTGTGAGTGTCCAGAAGGGTCAGGGGCAAGACGAAATCAAGGCTGAGACCTTGGGGCTCATAGGAGGGAGTGAGTGTCCAGGGTGGTCTGATACCCACAGGGTGGAGGGCTATACGGTGGAGGAGCTGGGCAGGATTGACAAGGTTGGTGGAGGTCAGTGGGCTCAGAGGTTTGGTATCTTGGATGTTGGTGTTGCTGTTGTTAAGTGCTGTTGAGTCAGTTCCAACTTATAGCAACCCTGTACCACAGAACGAAACACTGCCCAATCCTGCGCCATCCTCACAATCGTTATGTTTGAGTCCATTGTTGCAGCCACTGTGTCAATCCATCTCGTTGAGGGTCTTCTTCTTTTTCACTGAGCATCTACTTTACCTTGGATAGAGCCCATATTTCCAGGGTAGTGTGGGAGAGGACAGGTCCAGAATGTTAGAGAGCCCTGATAACTCCACTTGCCCCCAGGGAGCCCCTTGGCCTACACCTCCCTACTGCACACAAGCCCCAGGGACCTCTGCTGGCTGGCTCCAGCTTTGGCTTCGGAGACAGCATGACCCTCGATGTGCCTTCCACCCTGCCTGGCAAGCCCGTTACAGCCGCCAGCTGCCCAAGGTGAGGAGTCTGAGAAGTAGGGTCGGGTCACAAGTGACTAGGGTCTTAGGAGGGATGGGGGCTCAGGTCCTGAGGGCCATAGGTCCTGAGCATTGGTGTCTATGCCTCACACTGCAGGTCCCAGCAGAGCCTCTGCCCCGGCATCAGGGGGCTGGCCCCGCACTGTGGAATGGCTTGAACTTTGCACATGTGTTTAATGAGGCTGGCCTCTCCCTGCTGGCACCTGCAGTGCCTCATGCCCTGGAGTATGACATTGTCCTGTGCTGTGAGACCCAAGTCAGTGGCATTGGTGCCAGGTGGGCAGATGGATGGTGCTGGGTGGTGGGTAGAGAAAGCTGTTGGTCTTCTGACCCCCGAACCTTGACCGCAGGTACCTGAAGACTGGCAAGCATTGGTCAGTGTCCATGCCCAATCCTTACCCAGCAGTACCCGCTGTGCCCATGTGCTGCCCTCAGAGCACCTGTTCCAGGCAGCCCTGCCCCATGCATAGAGGTAGGCAAGACCCTGTGGCCCCAACACTAAGACCCTACTATGCTGCCAACACATTTGAAACAATACTGAGATCAAGTAGAAAAGCCCCAATATGGAATATGGTCATGTCACAGAACAATCAAAACAAGGAACTAATTTAAAACAGCAGGATTTAAGAAGTTGGTCTTTTTCCATTGGTTGCGTGCTGAAATGTTGGACTCAATAACTCTACAACAGAATGCAGCATCCCTGGGACTGCATGAGCATGACCTCCTGACCCCACTTCATCCTTACCCCACCCTACTTACCTTCCTGCAGGGCTGTGGCTCTATCCAGACCTTTCTGTTTTGAGCCTGGAACACACTACTCCATGACCCTGTCAGCTATGGCGGACCAAGGGTATTCGGGGGCCTGCAAGGGGTACCATCCTTCTGGATTCTGTGAGGTTCTAGGGGCTCCATCCCACATCTGGGGGAGACATGGAGGAGACACAACTTACAACAGGACAGGATGGGAGCATTGATTCTAGGGGCAGGGGATCACAGAGGTCTAGAGTTGGAACAAAAGGATTGAGATAGGCCAAGAGTGTAAGGAGGGGGCCCAGACAAGGGGAATCGCACAAGCAGAGCATAGAAGATGAGAAAAGGCAGGGGCCAGATCTCATAAGGCCTTGTGCGTGAGGTAGGGGTCTTGCACCTATCACAGGGGCAGTAGGGAGCCATGGAAAGATTTTGAGCAGGGAAGAGACATGGGGAGAAGGATGTTTTGTGGGGAGGCTCAGATGGAGGCTGCTGCAATGATTCCGAGTGAAACATGGCATTGCCGGGACTAGATTGGAGTCACTGGAGCGTGAGGAGAGACAGACTTAAAAGAGATTAGGAAACAAAAGTGGGGCAGAAGGGGTCAGTGAGGGCCGATGATGCAAGGAGGGGTGGCAGGTATTGGTGAGTGGGGCTAGGCTCACTACCCCCTGCCTGCTGCCCTCCACCCTCCTGCTAGGTTGTGCTGCCTCGGGTAGAGGAGTTGCCTGGACTGTGGTCCATGGACCCCGGGGCCATGCAGCGCTTGTAGGAGGTTCATCAGGCAGGCTGCATGGAAGCATCGAGGATGGGCCCCTCCAGCACCATGCCTGAGGCCTGCACCCACCTAGTCTGCAGCATCTCCGCCTTGCTCCACAGAGGCGGCCTTGGTGGATGTGCACCCCTCGGTAAGGGGGCTGCAGGGCTATCAAGAGGTTTCTCTGATCTTGCTCTTTCTCCCGCCAGCATGTGAGTGCCACCCTCGGTTCATTGAGCACTGAGTGTGCCTTGCTGGGTGAGCAGTGTCCCTGCTGTCCCCACATCATTGGTCATACCTGTGACCACTGTGTGCCCGGGACGTATGGCTTTGGGCCCACCAGCTGCAGTGGTGAGTCTTCAGGGCCAGTGGGTGTGAGGGGTAGGCTGGGGGTCAGCCATCTCTTTTCCCTGCATGGCTTGATCACCCTGCCACTCCCCACGGAGTGTCACTGCCATGCTGAGGGTGCCACCAGTGCCATCTGCAACCCTCTAAGTGGGCAGTGCACGTGCCGGGCAGGCGTCGCAGGTTGCCGCTGTGACCACTGCCTCCCTGGCCAGTGGGGATTCCCTCACTGTCAGCCCTGTGCCTGCAGGGCATGCTGAATTCTGCCATCCACTTACGGGCATCTGCCAGGCCTGCCACGGGACCCCCCCTGGCCAGCACTGCGAGAGTTAAGTGCTGCCACTGGGAGGATTGGGCAGGAGTTATGATGAGTGGGCCCGGCCCCAGCCATGTGCTACTGCCCCCAGGTGCCTGGACGGCTGCTACGAAGACCCTGTCCTGGGCTCAGGCCAGCAGTGCAGGCCCTGCCCCTGTCCCGGGTACCCTGGCTCTGGCCTCTATCGTGGGAGTTCCTGCCACGGGGACAACATGAATGGGCGTGTCGTGTGCCTCTGTGTGCCTGGCTATGCAGGTGAGGCATGGTTGGCAGTGGCAGACCCATGGCCCTGGTCACTTGTTTACAGTGCCATCGGGTCCACGTGGCAAATCTTTGCCAATGCTGCCTGTTTGCTGAGCTGCAAGCTGATCACTCGCCCTCAAGGAGTTCCTAGTCTGGGAAGAGGGGAATTATAGGCAAGGCCTGTGTAAGCCAGTGTCTTAGTCATCAGTGTTGCTGCAACAGAAGTACCATAAGTGGATGGTTTTAACAAAGAGAAATTTATTATCTCATAGTGCAGTAGGCTACAAGTCCAAATTCAGGGCATCAGCTCCAGGAGAAGGCTTTCTCTCTCTGTCTGCTCTGGAGGAAAGTCCTTGTGATGCATCAGTCTTCCCTTGGTCTGAGAGCATCCTTGTGATGCATCAGTCTTCGCTTGGTCTGAGAGCATCTCAGCGCAGGAACCTCAGGTCCAAAGGATGTGCTCTGCTCCCGGCACTGCTTTCTTGGTGGTGTGACGTTCCCCTGTGTCTCTGCTCGCTTCTGTCTTTTATATCTCAAAAGAGATTGGATTAAGACACTATCCAATCTTGTAAACCTCATCATTATAACCTCATCACAGTGACAGAATTTACAACACATAAGGAGATCACATATAACCTCATCATAGTGATAGAGTTTACAATACGTAAGGAAATCATACAATACTGGAAATCATGACCCAGCCAAGTTGACAGATATTTTTGGGGGACACAGTTCAATCCATGACACTCCACTCTTTGGCCCCCCAAAATTCATGGCCATGCAACATGCAAAATATACTCATCTCATCATATCACAGCAAAAGTCTTAACTCCAAGTCCAAATTCCAAAAATTCCTCTTCATCTGTGAAATCTAGAATACAAGTTATCTGCTTCCAAAGGTACAGTGGCAGAACAGGCACAAGCTAGACATTTCCATTACCAATGGGAGAAACTGGAGGAGAAGAAGGGATAACAGGCACCAAGCAAGTCAGCAGAACACATTACATTAGCCCTCAAGGCTTTGAAAATAGTCTTCTGTTCTCTGAGACAACTTACACAATAGCCCTGCCTTCCAGACTCTAGGTATTGGCCACAGTCTGCATTCTGAGTGGAGGCCCCTTGGCCCTGGGCTTCAGCTCCGCCTTCCAGCCGCACTGGAATGGCAGCTCTGCTCCCTTGGCTTCAGGTGTGCCATTCTCCTAGTCCATCGGAATGACAGCTGCACCCTTAGAAACACCAGAGGCCATGGCTCCACCCTTTGAAACCCCAGAGGTCCTGGCCATACCTCTTGAGACTGAGGCCACTCGGCGTCTTGTGTTCCTTGCCTCTTCAGCTTCTGTTTCCTGTGGCCTCTTGGCCCTCGGGCCTCACGCCCACATCTGCCCTGCTGAGGCAAGTGTTCCAAAGCTCAGTAGCTCCACAAGTAAGTACCTGGAGGCACCCCGCTCCGCCAGTAAACTTCTGCCAGAAGGCATTCAGCTCTCTTGCTCCATGGGTTGGCAAACCTTGCTCCACCGATAAGTGCCCAGAGGCACCCCACTCCGCCAGGAAGCCTCCTGCGCACAGACACTCAGCTCTCTCGCTCTGCGGGTCGGCTCCAGTGCTGTCTGGCACTGGTCTCCTGGTTCTGTTGATGCTGGTTCTCTGCCACTTCCGCTTCTCTGCTGCTGCTTCTCTGCTGCTCCTCGGCCACTGCTGCTCCTCTATCCATTCACAGTTTCAAAACCGCTTCCACATTTTAAATATCTGTTAGGGCAGTACCCCACTCTTGGTACCAAATTCTATTTTGTCATCTAGTGCTGCTCTAACAGAAATACCACAAGTGGATGGCTTTAACAAAAAGAAATTCTCTCATAGTCCAGTAGACTACAAGTCCAAATTCAGGGTGTCAGCTCCAGGAGAAGGCTTCCTCTCTGTCGGCTCTGGAGGGAAGTCCTTGTGATGCATCAGTCTTCCCTTGGTCTGGGAGCATCTTAGCGCAGGAACCTCAGGTCCAAAGGATGCGCTCTGCTCGGACGCGCTCTGCTCCTGGCACTGCTTTCTTGGTAGTGTGAGGTTCCCATGTGTCTCTGCTCACTTCTCTCTTTTATAGCTCAAAAGAGATTGGATTAAGACACTATCCAATCTTATAAACCTCATCAGTATAACCTCATCACAGTGATAGAATTTACAACACATAATGAGATCACGTATAATCTCATCATAGTGATAGAGTTCACAACACATGACGAAATCACATCAGATTACACAATCATACAATACTGGAAATCATGACCCAGCCAAGTTGACAGATATTTTTGGGGGACACAATTCAATCCATGACAGCCAGGAAGATGGGCTGTAATGTACCTACAGTGTCCTCTCCCCTCCTGACCACAACTCAGATTTGTTGACTGGGTGTGTGACCCGCAGGCCTCAAGCATCCAGGAAGACAACTGAGACAATCCCATGCTCCTCTCCAGGTCCCTGCTGTGACCACTGTTCCTCCAGCTATTTCGGGTGCCCTTGGCCACAAGGGGACCCCAGAAGGAGTCCATGCCAGCCCTGCCAGTGCAACAACAATATCGATCCCCATGACCCCACCGCCTGCGACCCCCACACTGGACAATGCTAGCGCCGTCTGCACCACAACCATGGCCCTGGCTGTGCCCACTGCAGGCCTGGCTTCCATGGCAGTGCCCTGCACCCAGGAGGCTGCCAGCGTGAGTGGGTGGGTAGGGGCATCCCAGGGTGGGTGGGTAGGTTCTCCCCTCCACAGACTCTGCCAAGCCTTCCCTCCCCTCATGCTACAGCTGTGATTCCTGGGGCACTGTCCCCACGTGGTGCCCATCTGGGGCCAAAGCCTGCTTCTGCAACCAGGTCAGTGGCAGGGGCGGGACTGCAACCGCTGTGCTCCCCTCTTCTGGAACCTAGGGGGCCCCCGGGGCTGCGAACCCTGTGGCTGCCATACCCAGCACACTTTGCAGCTGGTGTGTCACCCAGTAAGTGAGCCCCTGTGACATATGACATGTGGCAGTGCCTGGGTGTGAGCGAACGTGTGGACACCTATGATGAGGTGTGACTATGGCTGGTGTGAATGTCCCTGTGACCACCAGCACTATGTGTGGCTGCAAACAGCTGTGTGAGTCTGTGCTCCCGTGTGAATTAACTGTGAGCAGGTGGTGGGGCCTGGGGGAGAGTGGATATGAGATGGCATGTGCCTGAACCCATGTGCAGCTGTGTGTTAGTGTGTGCATAAGCCACTGTGAGAGTGTCATGGCCGGCGGAGTGAGCATGGCGGCGGTGGGGGCTGGGGAGGAGGTCGAGGAGGCACAGCAGAGGGGGATGGCCGCGGGAGGTGAGCATTTCCGGTAGAGTGGGCAGCCCCTGAGTGAAATGAGGCCAGAAGCCTGTTCTTGGGTCCTTGGCAAGGAGGGGGAGGGGGCGGGAGCCAGATGCAAGAGTTGAGGGAGGCATGGGTGTGAGGGCTTGGGATAGTGGCGTGCATGGCTCAGAACATAGAGAAGCAAAGGGCAGCAGGTCAAGAGACAAGACACACCCAGGCAGTGGGAAGTGAGGGTTGGCGATGAGGGAAGGTGGGAAGTGGCTGAGGGAGCCAGGTCAGAGGAGGTGTTCAGACGGGGAGGGGCCTTCAGCCAAGGGCAGGTGTGGGTGCTGCCTGGGAGAAGACAGTGTGCGTAGGTGTGCGCATGCCATCTCTGAGCACCCATGTACTTTTCCTCTCCCAGTTGGCCTTGGTGACTGGCCTGTGCTGTCTTCCCCCCGGGTCACAGGTCAGTGCCCCTGCCGGGCAGGATTTGGGGGCCACACGTGCTCTCAGTGTCAGGACGGGTATTGGGGTGACCTGGAGCAGGAGTGCAGAGGTGAGAGTGTACTCACACAGTCCACCACCAGGGGCAAGGCTGTCCTGCAGGGGGAATAGTAGGGAAGCACTTGGGGTTTTCCTGAGGAAGAACGTAACATGCTTATTGCTGTTCCCCCCAAAACTTAAATACTCAAGAAAACAACTGTAGGGAAACAGCATTGGCAAGGCTAGGCAGGGTATACCCATAGAGAGGACACCTTGGGTGGCTCTTTCCTGTCCCCGCCTGCCAGCCCTGACACTGGCTGACCCCCCGGCCAGGCTGTAGAGGCTCTGGAGGCTTGTGCTGTTTCCCTGTGCAAAGGCTGCTGTGCAGTACAGCCTCCTCAACCAGGGTGGGTGCCAGTGCTCATGGCAGCTCTGAGCAGTGGCTCAGGCCAGGGCTAGTGTGCACCCCTATATCCATACAGGAGCATCATCATCCTTCAGCCACCTGGAGGCAAGCCTGGGGCGAGTGCCGTCTTTCCCTGCCCTGAGCCAGTCTCTCCGCTGCAGCCTGTGCCTGTGACCCACAGGGCTCCATCTCACCCGGCTGTGACCTGCACACAGGTGCCTGTCTCTGCAGAGATGGCATCTTAGGGCTGAGGTGCCAACCATGTGCCCATGCTTCCAGAGGTGGCTTCCCAGATTGCACGTCCTGCCTACTTGCTTCACCCACTGGGATCAATGGCTGGCGCTGCTCCAGCTGCAGCTGGAAGCAGTGGTGCAGGAGGTGGCTGCCCTGCCCCAGGGGATGCCTGGCCAGGGGGCCGGGGGCCGTGGTGGATGCCTGCAAGCCCTGGATGGGGTACTACAGCAGACACAGGCACTTCTGGAGACTCCCTCACCCTCTGTGGGGAACCTGCAGCAACTTACAGAGTGGATAGCTGGACTCAGACAACGGATCTGGGGTCAGCAGGGAGGGAATCCCCGGCCAGCTTCCCAAGATCAGGGATTCAGAGGGTCATAGGTTGGCCTGAGTCCTGGGTCTGGGAGTCAGGTGCATTTCCTTGAGTGAAGCAGCAGTGGGCATGTCTGGGCAGACCGATGCCTATCTCCCCACCGGCGGGAATTGACTGCATTGGCCCAGACACTGCAGGCCACAGAACAGGTTGTGGCCGACAATAGACTGTGGGTCAAGGGGCAGCGTGAACACCTGGAAACATTATCCTGGGAGCTAGACTGTGTCAAGGACTTGGCCTGGGCCAAAGGGGCCATAGGAACCCAAGGTGAGATGAAGTGGGCAAGTGGGTAGATGACAGGTGGGTCTGGGGCAGGAGGAAGGGACCAGGTGCCATTGCATGTGAATCTGGGGGACCTGTGAGGCTGACTGGCTGTTCCTGCAGGTGGAGCCCTGACCCTCTCCTATATCCACCTGTCCCAGCCCCTGCAGATGCTGGGGCCCAGGCCTCCTCAGCTGCCCTGCTTTCCCAGGAGGCCATACGCAGAACCCAGGCTGTGGTCACATTTGGACAATGAGACAGCATCCTGGGGCAGACCCAAGAGGCCCGGCGGTGGACGGAGCAGCTGCTGCGGGGGATGGGCCAGCCCACAAGGGCAGCTATGTGGGGGCTGAAACTGAAGGGGCTGGTCAGCGGGGTCTGGATGCTACACCTGCAGCTGCTGGGGCTCTCTGTCAGAACCGGAGTGGTGGGTGGGGATGTACATCACTGTTGTGGGGCGTGGTTGTCAAGGCAAGAACTGTCTTGTAGGGTACCCTGGGTGTAGGGCAGCAGGGGCTCTGGGACATGCACTCCTCCCTGGGTCCCTCATCTCACTTGCAGGAGTGCAGAGGTCGGGGACATGGGCTGACCTGTGCTCCTGCACCCTGTGGGATTCCCCCTTGCCCTGGGCCCCTGCCCACTGCCCAGTGGGCTCTGGTTGCCTCCTGCAACTCCTCCCACAGCCTAGACATAGTAATCACAGCCTTGAAGCAGCATCAGCAATTGGTACAGAGTCATGAAGGCCATGGGTGGGAGCCATGGGGCAAGTCACAGGGGACCATAGTTTGGCCACAGGGTGGCAGGAGACACATTCCACTTGTGACCCATACCTACCAGCTGCAGCAAATCCAGGCCACAGCAAGCTCCTCAGAAACTCAGGTGCAGGAGACATGGCATTGTGCAAGGGGGCCCAACCATGCAGACCATCCAGCATTTCCTCTTGGGTACATGTCTGCTTGTCATGCCTCCATTCACAGCTGAGGGCGAGGCCAGGTGGGCATCCAGGACACTGCCATGGTACCCCTTCCAGAATGATCAATACTCATAAGGGCTAACCAGGGGTCAGGTGAAAGCACTGGTGTGCTGGTAAATGTTTTTAACAACTGGCAGGAAGTCAAGGGGAATTGATTTGTAACATGTTTTCAATTTCTATGGTATAAATAATCCCACCATGACTGATTTCAATCTACCTGCTATTTAATGACCAATTTGCAAAATTCCTGAAAATGTACCAATTGACTGTTGCAAGCCTTCAGCACACCATTGGGCAGGAGGGTCAAGGATAGAGTCAGTGAGAGGCCAGGGTTAGGGGTTGTTGGGTCAGGGATCAGGGTTCAGGTCCTACCCTACTCCCCACAGATGAAGGCGCAGATGTTGCGAGTGTAGAGCTGGTGGCGTGGAGTGTGCTGGCAGTGCCCCTCCCCCAAGGTGGGGTGGCAGGTGTTGTCCCCCTGCTGGATCACATCCAAGGTTACCTCCCCGTACCAGACTCTGTGGGCCAGGAGCTGCCCAGAGCTGAAGACATCCTCCATCTGGCACAGCAGACCAGGTGAAGGACCAGGAGGCTGGAGGTGGAGGTCAGAGGGTGGGAAGGGAAGGGATACCCAACTGAGTATCTGTGCCTTTCAGAGAGGGCACAGCCAAGGCCCAGGACCAAGTGCTGGACGTTCAGGGGGCACTAGCCGAGGTGGGAAGTCACACAGGAGCTGCAGAACAAGGACTCCAGGTGGGGAAGCAGGCATTTATAGGCCTAGAGGCCAGTGTGCAGGAGGTGATACCCTACAGGAACCCCGTAGGTCTCTCATATCTCTTGTTCAATGGTTGTAGTGATTCCCATTCGCCCCTGAGATCCTTGACCCACTGTTCTTCCATGGTGCCACTGAGTACCCTGACCTTGCAAACACTCAACCTAGTTGCTTCCCTGCTGTGACCTCTCTGTGACCCCCTGACCTTTGCTCCAGGCGGCAGAGCACCTGACCCAGATGGTGTTGGCAGTGGATGTGACCCCGATCCTGGGACATCTGTCCAGTGCAGCCAAGGTCTTCAGGATGCATTTGGCCCTGAGTCAGTGGCAGGCCCAGGAGGCAGAAGAACAGGCAGCAAGGGCCACAGGCATGGCTGGGGGCCTGGGCAAGGTGAGGTAGGGAACAGTGGGTATTGAGGTCTCTGAGTCTCGGGGACTCCTCTGGAATAGTGGGAGGTGCAGTTTAGGCTGGGGCTGGGATAGGCTGGGTTAAGGCAGGGTCTCAGTTCTAAAACTCCCTGCCCCAGGAACCTCGGGCCTGGGTGGGGTAGGGTTTTATGTCCAGCTCCTCTTCTAGGAGTTGCAGGTGGCCTGGTTGGGTATGGCAGAGTTGTAGGGCGGCATGTATGGCCTGGTGGTCACGGTGCAGAATGCAGGAGAGTGGGTGGAGCGGGCACAAGCTGAGGTCCAGGAGCTGCTGAAGCAAGTGCAGAGTACTTGGAGCTGCCTGGATGGTGCGTGGCTGGGCTGTAGTGGGGGGCATCGGAGGGGGACAGGCACAGGGGTGGGGTGAGGGTCAGGGTGGAGTCCAGGTCAGGTCCAGACTCATGCAGGGATCACAGCTGGGGTCAAAATTCAGAACAGGGGTCAGGTGTTGATTAGGATCAGGGCTAGTTTAGGGCTGGGGCTGAAGTCAGGGCCAAGGTCATGAAAGGGATGAGGGCCAGGGTCAGAACCTGGTTCAGGCAGCCTGATCCCCAGGGTTGGAGCATCTCCTGGTGCAGAACGAGCAGGCACTGGGCAAGAAGGCAGCCACCCTGCGGGACCTGGAGCAGTGGGCAGCAGAGCTGCTTGAGTACATGTGACTGGGTGCCAATATCTATGCCACCTGCTGACTGCCATCTATGGATGCCAGCAAGAGGAACCCTGGGATCACCTGGGTGATTCAAAGTCATGCCAGACTGACTCAGGAATCCCCTGACCTTGAGAGACCAGAGACCTTCCTGAATGACTGATGCATGTGTGACCTCAAGATATCTGCCAGTGACCCTCTGACCTTGAGAAACCAGAAAGATCATGTAACTTTGTGAACCAATGAAGCCATCCAGTGCCCCGTCCCTGATAAACTCTTATCTCTGAGTGACCTCCTAAAATTCTTAGTCGTCTCTAGTATTGCTGAGCCCCTCAGTTTGACTATATGATTCCCAGGGTGGCCAGATACTCCTACACCAGATGGCTGGAGTAACTCCCAGTAACCCTGAAAGACCAGTAGATTGACATCCCTTCTTCTGGCTCCTCTTGTGAAGGCCAGATGATTCTCCTGAGGTAACCTCAGTTTTCTTCCCTGTCTCCCAGTCTCGGGTGCTCCCCGCCCAGCCCAGACAGACCAGCAGACTTCGTGGTCCCCGAGGTCCCAGGGGTCTGGGTGGGGCGCGCGCCTGCCGGCAGCGCGCATTCCAAGCCCGGGATCGGGCGCTCCCGGCGGGCCGGAAGGTACGGAGTGGATGAATAGCCACAAGATCGGGATTCTTTCGCAGCTGCCCGGGTCCCGTTTCATACCGGGAAACCGAGGCAGTGCTTCTGTTGCTTACTCGCTGGAATGACTAGAGGAGGCGGAGAAACAACACCCCCTCCCCCGCCAGGGCCGCTCACCGGGCAGGGCATGGCCTTTTCCCATCTCTTCCCCCATCCCCGCCCTGTCCTTTTCCTCAGCTGTCCTAAAGCTCCCTGCAGCCCTGAATAGAGGAGCACAGCGTCCCTCCGCGGTTCTCCGCCTCCTCACTGATACTGGAGCCCTGGGACAAAACCGATGAGTTGACGGTGACTTCCACGGCCCCCACCACCCCGGGGACAAAGGCTATGCTCCTTGGCTGGGTCTTCTTGTTTCCGAAAATCAGACTTCTCTCCTTTGCTCCTGCCTTGCCCCCAACTTGGTGCGCCCCCTTCCTGTTGCGGCCTAAAGCCCCAACTCCCCTAGCTCTCTCCAGCCCCTGCACAAGTCTGGGTATTAGGGCACAACAAAGATTTGCGAATGAGACGGCTGGAATCTAGTTCTTGGGTAAGGGCCGTTTTCGAAGGGCAGAGGTGGGAAGGGGGGAGGGGGCGGCCCTTTGTGCGAACTTGCACTCCTTCCCGCGATCCGCTCCGTGCTTTCCTTCCCGCCGCGCCTCCCAACTTTGCTCAAAGTCGCCGGACTCCGTGGAGGGACCGACCGACCGACCGAGGGCTGGGCTGGGAACCAGCCAAGTACTCACACGGGCAGGGTCAGCGCGGGGCCACGAAGGGAGGGGGCAGATAGGCGCAGACCCCTAGACCCTCATTCCTCCTCATCCCGGATTCCCTTCCGCTTCAGGATGGAGTGGGCCTCGGGGGCACGCAGGAGGGGCCGATGGGGACAGCCTGCACCCTGGGAGCTTCGATTGGGCCTGCTGCTGAGTGGTGAGGGGGCTTGGTGAGGGCTGGGGGTTGTTAGATGTGTGGGTGAATTCTGGGGTGGCAGCTTCTGGGGCTCATGGGAAGGGGCTGCCCGGTGGGAGCGCAGCAGAACTGGCTAACCCGCTGCCCTCAGTGCTGGCCACCGCCCTGGCCCGGGCCCCGGATGTGCCGGGCTGCTCACGGGGAAGCTGCTACCCAGCCACGGGGGACCTGCTGGTGGGTCGCGCTGACGGACTGACTGCCTCATCCACCTGCGGCCTGCGTGGACCCCAGCCCTACTGCATCGTCAGTCACCTGCAGGTTCGGATGGAGGTAGAGTGGGGAGCCTGGTCAGAGCGGGGCTGGCACTAGTTGAGGCACTAACTCTGATCGTGACCTAACTCAGGACGAGAAGAAGTGTTTCCTGTGTGACTCCCAGCGCCCCTTTTCTGCTGGAGACAACCCAAATAGCCATCGCATCCAAAACGTCGTCACCAGCTTTGCACCACAGCGCAGGGCAGCTTGGTGGCAGTCAGAGAATGGTGAGACCGTGGGTGGGGCATGGGGTGAGCAGGACTTCTTGACTGTGGCCTTGAGTCCCTGATCTCTGGCTCCTGCCCCAGGTGTCCCCGTGGTCACCATCCAGCTGGACCTGGAGGCTGAGTTCCATTTCACACACCTCATTATGACCTTCAAGGTGCCCGCATGTCTGGGACCCTGCCTGAATTGCCATGCTTGGCTCCCTATTGCCCCTGGTCAGAGCCCCAGCTCCTTGGCCTGGCCTCCCTGAGCTCCTCATCTGCTGTGTTCTGGTTGCATGGGAGGCTTCTTCATCTCTCACACCTTTGGTTGCCTTATGCCTCTAGGCCTTTGCTCATGCTCTTCTGTTGCCCCAATTCCCAATTCTCAGGCTGGGTCAGGTGCTCCCTCCCTGGACCCTATGACCCCCAAGCCTCACCGCTAAAGATGGCTACCCTCCCTGGTCATTTCCTGGCTTCTGATGGTCACCCTGACTTGTCTGTGAGCTCTCTGAGGGCAGGGCAGGGTCAGGCCAGGCTGGGCAGGGCTCTCGATAGGCCTGGCCTGGTCTTGAGTCCCGAATGCCCACTGACCAGCCATGCCCCCTACTCAGACATTTCGCCCTGCTGCTATGCTGGTGGAGCGCTCTGCTGACTTCGGCCGTACCTGGCATGTATATCGATATTTCTCCTATGATTGCGGGGCTGACTTCCCAGGAGTCCCACTGGCCCCCCCGCGGCACTGGGATGATGTGGTCTGTGAGTCCCGATACTCAGAGATTGAGCCATCCACTGAAGGCGAGGTGAGGGCTGAGAAGTGAGTGGGGAGTAGGGTGGGGGATGATAGGCCTGAGGCAGAGTCCAGTGTCTCTATGGACTCCCTCCCCTTCCAGGTCATCTACCGTGTGCTGGATCCTGCCATCCCCATCCCGGACCCCTACAGCCCACGGATCCAGAGTGAGTGCTCCACGCTTTGAGCCTGGAGCAGTCCCAGCATCCAGCTGGTGGCTATTTGGGGCCACAGTAGCTATTCTGGGTGCTTCCTAGGGCAGATGCCAAGCCCAGTTTGGCTTGGGTGGCGGTAGACAGGAGATCTCCCAAGGTGACCTTGGCAGCTGCAGCCCTTGGGTGGGCATAATGGGGCAGCAAGGCCTGGCTAGCTGGCTCACAAGCTTTCTCCCCCACTCAGACCTGCTGAAGATTACCAACCTAAGGGTGAACTTGACTCGGCTGCACACACTTGGAGACAACCTGCTTGACCCACGGCGGGAGATCCGCGAGAAGTACTATTATGCCCTCTATGAGTTGGTCGTGCGTGGCAACTGCTTCTGCTATGGACACGCCTCACAGTGTGCACCCGCCCCAGGGGCACCAGCCCATGCTGAGGGCATGGTGAGGGGCTTCAGCCAGCTAGGTTAGGGCTGTGGGCAGGGGCAGGCATGGCTGGACAGTGCTAACCGTCTGCTTGCCCACCCCACCTAGGTGCACGGGGCCTGCGTCTGCAAACACAACACTCGTGGCCTCAACTGTGAGCAGTGTCAGGATTTCTATCATGACCTGCCCTGGCATCCGGCCGAGGACGGCCTCAGTCACACCTGCAGGAGTGAGTGAGAACCTGGCCCCCAGGCCCAGAACTCTTCAGTCTAGCCATGCCCTAGGGTGGCCAGAGTAGAACCTGGAGCTGGTTGGTCAAGCCCCAAAGAGCCAGGCTGTGTCCAAAAGTTATCTAAACCTTGATGTCCCTGGGGATACCCTTAGCCCTCCTCCATGATCTACACTGGGTAAGGGCCCAGTATGATGCTGAGGCCTTGAAGTCCCTGAGACCCCACCCACAAATTCTGGCCTATGGCAGGGACCTAAGGTGGTACTAGGGCCCTCTATACCTGTCACCCTCGAGATCTTTGCCTTGCCTCCCCTGCCAGAGTGTGAGTGCCATGGGCACTCCCACAGCTGCCACTTCGACATGGCCATGTACCTGGCATCCGGCAACATGAGTGGAGGTGTGTGTGATGCATGTCAGCACAATACAGCTGGGCGCCATTGTGAGCTCTGCCGGCCTTTCTTCTATCGTGACCCAACCAAGGACTTACGGGACCCTGCTGTGTGCCGCTGTGAGGCTGGGACTGGGCATAGGGGAGGACAGGCTGAGCCTGGGGTAGGAGATGGGGAGCCAGACTGCCTCCAGGTTGCAGGGAGTTGGGGTGAGGGGCTTGGGAGAGAGCCAGACTAGGGGTCCAGGGTGGGGGGCTTAGGAGAGGACAGGGGCTGGGCCAATTGGGAGAGGGTGACCATGTACCTCCTTTCACCCCTAGCCTGTGATTGTGACCCCATGGGTACCCAAGACGGCGGTCACTGTGATTCCCATGATGACCCTGCACTGGGGCTGGTCTCAGGCCAGTGTCGCTGCAAAGAACATGTGGTGGGCCCTCGCTGCCAGCAGTGCCGTGATGGCTTCTTTGGGCTCAGTGCCAGTGACCCTCAAGGCTGCCGTCGTACGTGTCTCCTAACTCTTGTGCAGATCTTTAATTCCTGACCTCTTGCTCCTGACCCAGCTGAGCCCGAGTACTGCCACAGCTCCCCAAAGTGCTGATGAGACTCTTTCCCCATAGGGTGTCAGTGTGATGCTCGGGGCACGGTGTCTGGGGGCACCACTTGCGACCCTAGCAGTGGAACCTGTTTCTGCAAGCGTCTGGTGACTGGACGTGGCTGCGACCGCTGCCTGGTTCGACTGGAGGGGGCTAGGGTCCTGGGGTTCTGGACTTGTTCTCAGAGAACAGGGCTTGGGAACCATGTCCATGCCCCAATGGATGGGTGCTCAGGGCTTAGAGAGGACTCAGGTCTGGGAGGCCAAGTTACCAAGGGGTGCTAGAGGCTGAGAGCCATTGTTTGGGTTCTTGCTGGGTGGCAGGGGGTCTGTTTCTGGCCCCCAGCAACTCCCTCTTCCCCAGCCTGGCCACTGGGGCCTGAGCCACGACTTGCTTGGCTGCCGCCCGTGTGACTGCGATGTAGGTGGTGCCTTGGATCCCCAGTGAGTGAGACATAAGGGGCCTGGGAAGGGGCGGAGTAAGAACCTGGGTGGGGCAGGGTGCTCTTCCTGAGTAACCGCGGCACCCCCCAGGTGCGACGAGGCCACGGGTCAGTGCCGCTGTCGTCAGCACATGGTCGGGCGACGCTGTGAGCAGGTGCAACCGGGTTACTTCCGGCCCTTCCTAGACCACCTTACTTGGGAGGCGGAGGACTCCAGAGGGCAGGTGGGGCAGGGTCTCGGCAGTGGGCAGGGCATGGGCGGGACTGTGGCAGGAGAGGCGGGGGTTATGGACAGTACCTTGTCGGAGTGGAGGGGCGTGTGTGTGTGTGTGTGTGTGTGTGTGTGTGTGTGTGTGTGTGTGTGTGTGTGTGTCCGGCTTTGGGCGGGGCCTCGGCGGCAGAGCTGAGGTTTGGGGGAGGTACCGTGGCTAAAGGGGCGGAGCCTCGCTTGAGCCACCACCCTGGCTGGCCTCGACTCCTAGATGCTGGAAGTGGTGGAGCGTGTGGCAACCGTAGGGAGTACTCCGTCCTGGACCGGGCCAGGCTTCGTGCGACTTCGGGAAGGCCAGGTGCTTGAGTTTCTGGTGTCCTCTGTGCCACGGGCCATGGACTACGACCTGCTGCTACGCTTGGAACCTCAGGTCAGATCCTGTGAAACTTGACCCTGAGCTCAACCTCTGTGTGTGGGGGGCGCCTCCTACATCATCCTGTCCCCCCAGGTCCCTGAACAGTGGGCAGAGATGGAACTGACGGTGCGGCGCCCAGGGCCTGTGTCTGCTCTCAGTCCGTGCGGGCATGTGCTCCCCGAAGACGACCGCATCCGAGGGACTCTGCGACCAGACAGCAGGTAAGGGCACTGATAGTAGCACCCACAATGGTGGGGGTTGTGGGGCCAGCCCTAATTTCCCTGCAGGGCACCTAGAAGAGCCCACTACCAGCCAGACATCACACACGTACAAGTGTCTCCTCCTGAGTACTGCTTGCCTTGTGCTGTTGGTCGTGGTGCTAGGACAGAGAAAGGAAGTAGACATAAAGAGGCCTGATCTCTTGGTCTAAGGTCCAGAGGCCAAGCCAGGAATTAATGGAAAACCATCCAGCATCACTGTAGGCAGTGCCCACAGGGGAGCACAGTGGAGGAGTGGGCAAGGGCCAGACCGCGTGGGGCCCTGTCAGTCAAGCCTGGAGCTTGGATTTTTTCTTTAGTGGGCCAGGGTGTGAGAGGGGTACATCAGAGCACCCTGAGCAGGGATGTAACTGGTCTGATTGATGTTTTATTACATTTTGTGTAGTATTTGCTTTCTGTATTTTTTTTTCATCATTTTTAAAAATAGTATTTTATTGAGTTTTTGGTGAAAGTTTACACAGCAAGTTAGGTTCCCATTTGACAATTTCCACACAAATTGTTCGGAGACATTAGTTACATTTATCACAATGTGTCAACATGCTCTTTTTGTGTGTGTTCCGTTTGTTCTCTTTCCAGTACTCTGGTTTTCCTGCCCCCTTACCTTCTCATCCTTGCTTTTGAGTAATTGTTGACCTTTTGTTCTCACACTGATGGTTTTTAAGTAGAGCACCAATCTTATGGGTAATATCGTAATATGCTAAAAGGTGATCTCAGGGGATAGACTTGGTTCTAGGTTTAAAGAGTGACTCAGGGCAATAGTTTCAGGGAGTCTTCTGTTCTCTACTGTTCCAGTTTGTCTGGCTTTTTTTTTTTTTTTTTTAAATAAGAATTTGAGTTCTGCTCCAAATTTTTCTCCCATTCTATCCGGAACCATCTGTTGTGACCCCACTCAGAAAGGTCAGTGGTGGTAGCTGGGCACTATCTAGTTCTTCTGGTCTCAGGGTAGATGAGGTTTGTGGCTTGTGTAGACTTGTTTCTTCTCTGAGCTTTTGGCTACCTTCTAACTGTTCTGTTTCTGGCAAGTAGAGAACAGTAGTTGTGTCATAGATGGCCACTGGAAAGCTTATCAGACCCCAGACACTACTCACTTCACTAGGATGCAGATCATGATTTTTGTGAACTATGTTATGCCAGTTGACTGAGTTGTTCCATGAGACTATGGTCCTAAGCTTTCAAACCCAGAAAACCAATCATGGAAGGTGTTTGTTTATATCTGTGGAGTATCCTTATTTGTGTCTTCAATGCATATATGTGCCTGCACCAATGTATTTGTGTTTACATGTACATATAGATTTCTATCTGTTCTCATTTATGTACATACCTGTACCTACCCATATGTCAATATGCCTATACCCATCCATGTGTGCTCACACACGTTTTTACTTTGTTTGTGCTGTGATCACTACATCCATATTTGGTGCCACTTTTCTCCTCACCAAAACAAATAAATAACTAAAACGTAATTTCCCCTCCCTGCTCCTGTCCGTAGTAACCACCAATGAACACTGGTGTCTCTATATATCTATTCTTATCTTCATATAAAAAAGGGATCATATGGTTGACTTATTTAACTTAGCAGTATGCCCTCTAGGACCATCCATGTTATAATATGATTCATGAACTCATCATTGTTCTTTATGGTGGTGTAGTATTCCATTGTATTTATGCACGACCATTTGCTTATCCATTCATCCGTTGATGGGCACTTCAATTGCTTCCATTTATTTGCTATTGTAAATAAAACAGCAATGAACGTAGGTGTGCATATGTCTGTTCGTGTCATTATTTTTAGGTCTCTAGGGTATAATGTGACTATGAGTTAGAACTGACTCAACGGCAACGGGTTAGGGTGTATGCCTGTGGGAGAAAGATGCGGCAGTCTGTTCCTGTAAAGATTTACAGCCTTGGAAGCCCTATGGGGCAGTTCTATTCTATCCTGTAGGGTCACTATGAGTTAGAATCAACTCAACGGCAACAGGTTTGGTTTTTGGTTTAGGGTCTAAACCTGGGAGTGGGATTGCTGGATCATAGGGTACTTCCATTTCTATTTTTTTGAGAAAGTGCCATACCATTTTCCACAGTAGTTGTACCATTTTACAGTCCCACCAGCAATGAATAAGGGTTCCAGTCTCCCCACATCCTCACCAACATTTGTTGTTATCGGTTGTTTTTTTTTTTTTGTCAGTGCCATTTTAGCTAGGGTCAGATGGTACCTCACTGTAATTTTGATTTGCGTCTCTCTAATGGCTAATGATTGTGAACATCTTTTTATATGTTTGTTGCTTTCTCGGATATCCTCTTTGGTGAAGGTTCTGTTTATGTCCCTTGCCCATTTTGTGATTGGGTTGTTCGTCTTTTTGTTGTTAGTTGTTGCAGTTTTCTATAGATTTTAGACATTAGACCCTTATCAGATGTTTCTGAATATTTTTTCCCAGTCTGTAGGTTGTCTATTTACTCTCTCAATAGTCTTGATGAGCATACATTTTTAATTTTTATGAGGTTCCATCTATTTTGTCTTCTATTCGTGCATTTGTTGTTATGTTTATTATCCTATTTTTGCAAAAGATTAGGTCCCATTGTTTTTTCCCTATATTTTCTTCCAGGAATTTTATCATTTCAGGTTTGACATTTAGGTCTTTGGTCCATTTTGAGTTAGATTTTGTGTATGGTGTGAGGTATGGGTCTTGTTTCATTTTTCTGCAGGTGAATACCCAGTTTTGCCAGCACCATTTATTAAAGAGACTGTTTCTGCCCCACTGAATGGACTTTGACCCCTTGTTGAAGTCAGTTGTCCATAGATGGCTGGGTTTAATTCTGAATTCTCAATTTTATTCTATTGGTCTACGTGTCCATCATTGAACCAATACCAGACTGTTTTGATTACAATGACTATATAATATGTTTTGATGTCAGGGAGTGTGAGGCCTCCTGCTTTGTTTCTTTGATGTTGCTTTGGCTGTTCAGGTTTCTTTCCTTTCCATATGAAGTTGGTCATTACTTTTTCCGTTTCAGTAAAGAATGTTGTTGGGATTTGTATTGGGATTGCATTGTATCTAGAGATCGCTTTAGGTAGAATTGACATTTTCACTGTATTAAGTCAATCCTTGAGCACAGGATGTTTTTCCATTTCTGTAGCTCTTCTTTAGTTTCCTGTGGTAGTGTTTTATAATTTTCATTGTATAGGTCTTTTATGTTTTCATCACTTTTTATCATGTAAATATTTAAACATACACAGAAGCAGAGAGAATAGCATAATGAACCTGACTTTAGCCATTTATAGACATTTTGTCAACTGTGACTTATGTTTCACAAAGATCCCTCTAGCTGATGAATGGAGAATAGACTTAAAGGGGGCCAGAGTAGAAGCCAGAAGATCTGCTAGAGGCTGTTGAGTTGGCAGGTGAGGGTGGGTCGGACAGATGCATAATGGTGGAGATGGTGAGAAGAGGAAAGGTTCTAGAGGATTCTGGTGAAGGGCAGGACTGGTGTCTTAGACATGTGGGGAAAGGAGAGAAGGTGGAAAAGAGACTCCAGAGTTTTTGGCCTGACCATCTGGATGTGGGTGGGGCCCTTTACTGAGATGGGGACATGAGAGGAGCAGTTCTGAGATGATTAGACATTCAGGGGGAGAAGGCCAGTGGGTAGTTAGATTTCTGTGTCTAGAACTACTGGGAGGGGTCAAGTTGGAGATATACATTTGGGATTCATCACTAAAGTGGTAGGTCTGGATGAAATGGCCAGAGAAAGGAAAGAGGACCAGAACCTAGTCTGGGGCACTCCAGTGTTAGAGTTCAGTAGAAAAGGAGGATCTAAGGGGAAAAACAGGGGTATGGGTGAGGTCCCAGAAACTAAGAGAAAAGAGCATCTCAAGAAGGAAGACACACTGATTTCATTACATGCTGCTGAATGCTGCAGTCAGATTAAGAATAGAGAAGTGGCCACTGGGTTTGGCTACATGGTGGTTGTTGGTGACCTTGGCGCAGTCTATCTGTATAGCATGACGGGACAGAGGCCTTGCTAGAGTGGGAGGCTGGAGAGTGGTGCAGTATCAGTGAAGAGGAGCCGACATTGTAGGTGGGGTCGGAGTAAGCATGAAGTGGTTGTTGAGCAGAAATATCAAGTATTTGTCTCAAGGAAATGCTGTGAGTTTGCCAGGTTGTATGGAGTGTTTCCAGCAAGACTGGTCTGCAAAGGTGTTTGATTCCAACGAACAACATTTATGGAAGTCTTCCATACAAGATGCTCAGTAGAGCTGCCCAGCTGTCTGTTGGCCCAGCTCAGCCCAGCCCTAGTCTCTGCTGTGGCCCATGTTTTGGGAGGTGGGCATGGAGTGGAAGAGGCCCAGGATGATGTGTTCAGGGACCCTGAATGACCACCCTATACCTTCCCCTGCTTCCTCCCAGGTACATTGTGCTTCCCAGACCTGTCTGCCTTGAGCCTGGCATCTCCTATACACCACGTCTGAAGCTTGTGCGAGTAGGGGGAGGCACCCAGCCTGGGACCCCCTACTCTGGACCCGGCCTGCTCATTGACTCGGTGAACTATCTCCTTTCCCCAATAGCAACCAAGGTGGCAGGGCCTGGGGGGTGGGGCCTGTGATGGTAACTGGGTAGGAGGGGTCTGTGACAGAAGGGGCAGATCCATAGCAGTGCTAAGGTAAGTGCTGTGGCAGTGCCAATGTGTTCCTAGGTCTTAACCTCATTCTTCCTTGCTCATCCCTCCAGCTGGTGCTGCTACCCCGTGTCCTGGTGCTGGAGATGTTTAGTGGAGGTGATGCTGCTGCCCTGGAGCGCCATGCCACCTTTGAGCACTACCGCTGCCATGAGGAGGGCCTGGCACCCAGCAAGACTCCCCCCTCTGAAGCCTGTGCTCCTCTCCTCATCAGTGCATCTACTCTGCTCTACAACGGTGCCCTGCGTGAGTGCTTATGGTGTGGGTAGGTGGGGTAGTGTTGGAGCCCCAGCCTGACTTGGCCCTCCTTCCCACAGCCTGTCAGTGTGACCCCCAGGGCTCACTGAGTTCTGAGTGCAGCCCCCATGGTGGTCAGTGCCTGTGCAAACCTGGAGTGGTTGGGCGCCGCTGTGACCTCTGCGCCCCTGGCTACTATGGCTTTGGTCCCACAGGCTGTCGAGGTACCTGCCTGCATTGCCCCTTCTCCCCCGCCTATTCTTCTCTCTCCTCACTGCTTTTCTCCCTCTTCCTCCCTGCCTTTAACCTACCTTGGACACCATACTCTCATTCCTGAGTCACTTGTAGTTCCATTCCCTGACCTTCCCAACCTGATCCCACCCAGCCAGCCCTCAAACCACCTCCCCAGACTCAGCCTCTGCCCTGTCCCCAGCCTGCCAGTGTAGCCCTGAGGGGGCGCTCAGCAGCTTGTGCGAGGGGACCAGTGGGCAATGCCCCTGCCGAACTGGTGCCTTTGGGCTTCGCTGCGACCGCTGCCGGCGTGGCCAGTGGGGTTTCCCTACATGCCGGCCATGTGTCTGTAACGGGCATGCAGACGAATGTGACACCCATACAGGCGCTTGCCTGAGCTGCCGCGATCACACGGGGGGTGAGCACTGTGACAGGTGAGCCTAGAGCAGCTACGAGTGGGTTGGTGGGTGGGCAGGCTGCTCCGGGATGACACATCTCTTCCCGCCCCTCCCTGAAGGTGCATTGCTGGCTTCCATGGGGACCCACGGCTGCCATACGGGGGCCATTGTCGGCCCTGCCCCTGCCCTGAAGGCCCTGGGAGCCAGCGGCACTTTGCCACTTCTTGCCACCAGGATGGGTACTCCCAGCAGATTGTGTGTCACTGCTGGGCAGGCTACACAGGTGAGGGGGTAGAACAGAGCTATGGGATCAGGGTGGGGCAGCTGGGCTGAGCACTCACTCCTTCCCCCTGACTGTGGGCAGGGCCGCGGTGTGATGCTTGTGCCCCTGGGCACTTTGGGGACCCATCAAGGCCAGGTGGCCAATGCCAACCGTGTGAGTGTAGTGGGAACATTGACCCCATGGACCCTGATGCCTGTGACCCCCACACGGGGCAATGCCTGCGCTGCTTACACAACACGGAGGGGCCACACTGTGCCCACTGCAAGCCCGGCTTCCATGGACAGGCGGCCCAACAGAGCTGTCATCGTGAGTGTGGGCATGGGAGGGACTGGCTGGGGTGGGGATCTGCTGCTTGGGCTCCCCTTGACTAGTTTGCTCATCTTGGCTGGCATAGGCTGCACCTGCAACCAGCTGGGTACAGATCCCCAGCAGTGCCCGACCACCAACTGGTGCCACTGTGACCCGAGCAGTGGGCAGTGCCCGTGCCTCCCCAATGTCCAGGGCCTGAGCTGTGACCGCTGTGCCCCCAACTTCTGGAACCTCACCAGTGGTTGTGGCTGCCAGCCCTGTGCCTGTCATCCAAGCTGGGCCACAGGCTCCACCTGCAATGAGGTATGAAACCCTCCTGGTGCATTCCTGGGTGGGTGGGACCAGCTGTCAGCCTCAGGTCTCCAGGACTCAGCCTGACAGAGGCTCTGACCGTTGCCCTGTTCTCATCCATCCTAGTTCACAGGGCAGTGCCACTGCCGTGCTGGGTTCGGTGGGCGGACCTGCTCTGAGTGCCAGGAGCTCCACTGGGGAGACCCTGAGTTGCAGTGCCGTGGTAAGGGAGTCAGCAGGGGCTGTGGTGGATGGGGGACTTTCCAGGATGCGCCACTGGAGCTCTAAGTGAGGTTTGCCCTCCCCTGCAGCCTGTGATTGTGACCCTCATGGAATAGACTCGCCTCAGTGTCACCGCTCCACGGGCCACTGCAGTTGCCGCCCGGGTGTCTCTGGCGTGCGCTGTGACCAGTGTGCCCGTGGCTTCTCAGGTGTCTTCCCTGCCTGCCACCCCTGCCATGCATGCTTTGGGGACTGGGACCGTGTGGTACAGGACTTAGCTATCCGTACACGGCGCCTAGAGCAGCGGGCGCGGGAGCTGCAGCAGACGGGTGTGCTGGGCGCCTTTGAGAGCAGCTTCTGGAACATACAGGAGAAGCTGCGCACCGTGCAGGGCATTGTGGGTGCCCGGAACACTTCAGCTGCCTCCACTGCACAGCTTGTGGAAGCCACAGAGGAGCTGCGGTGCGCATGGGTCTGAGGATATGTGGTGGGATGGGGCAGAGGCCCGAATGACCAGGGCTGAAGCGTGTCTAAATAATGCCCCCCCACCACCATTGGTGCAGGCGTGAAATTGGGGAGGCCACTGAACACCTGACCCAACTAGAGGCAGAACTGACAGATGTGCAGGATGAGAACTTCAATGCCAACCATGCACTAAGTGGGCTGGAGCGGGACGGGCTTGCACTTAATCTCACGCTGCGGCAGCTCAGCCAGCATCTGGATCTGCTCAAACATTCAAACTTCCTGGGTAAGTTGTTGGCCAGCTAGGCAGGTAGACCAGGGTTGATCTCCAGCTGACTGCCTGCCTCTGCCCAATTTAGGTGCCTATGACAGCATCTACCATGCCCACAGCCGGTCTGCAGAGGCAGAACGTCGTGCCAACACCTCGGCCCTGGCAGTGCCCAGCCCTGTGAGCAACTCAGCAGGCACTCGGCAGCAGGCAGAGGTGCTGATGGGTGCCCAGAGGGCAAACTTCAACCGCAAACATGCAGCCAACCAGCGGGCACTGGGCGAGCTCTATGCCCGTACCAACGCCCTGAGCCTGACAGGCCTAAATGAACTGGTGAGGTGCAGGTCTAGGGTGGGACAGGTGGGCGTGGCTGTTCATTCCACAGAGCCCTTACTTACTCTGTGCCTGCTAGGTGTGTGGGGCCCCAGGGGATGCACCCTGCTCTACAAGCCCTTGCGGGGGTGCCGGCTGTCGGGATGAGGATGGGCAACCCCGCTGTGGGGGCCTCAGCTGCAACGGCGCAGCAGCCATGGCGGACCTGGCGCTGGGCCGGGCCCGGCACACGCAGGCAGAACTACAGCGGGCACTGGCAGAAAGTGGTGGCATCCTCAGCCAGGTGGCTGAGACCCGTCGGCAGGCTGGTGAGGCACAGCAGCAGGCCCAGGCGGCCCGAGACAAGGCTAATGCTACCCGAGGACGGGTGGAACAGGCCAACCAGGAGCTGCGGGAACTTATCCAGAGCGTCAAGGACTTCCTTAACCGTGAGCCCCCCATGCGGCCCAGGCCATGTGCTTATTTCCCTTGTGTTTCTGTCTCTCTCTCTCTGGGTCCACACTTGGGCCTCAGGACCTGTACTGGACCTGTGCTTATGACCCTATGTCTGGTCCCTGAACCCTTGCCCATGTATGGTCCCCAAGTCTATGTCTCTGAGTTTGTGCCCCATAGTACCCATCCCGGTGTTTACATCCCTATGTGTACTGGCAAACCCATGTTCCATGTACGGTCCCTGCATCGACACCCCACGATTCTGTCCCCGTGCTTATGCTGGAGATTCTGTATCCCTAAAAGCTTTTGCCTGTGTTACCATAGAGGAGGGGGCTGATCCTGACAGCATTGAAATGGTGGCGACACGGGTGCTCGAGCTCTCCATCCCAGCCTCACCTGAGCAGATCCAGCACCTGGCAGGCGAAATTGCAGAGCGAGTCCGAAGCCTGGCAGATGTGGACATGATCCTGGCACGTACTGTGGGAGATGTGCGACGGGCTGAGCAGCTCCTGCAGGATGCACGCCGAGCACGGTCTGACCTCATTCTTGCCCCCATCCCTGACACCTGGTCCTGATACCTGCAGCCCCTGATTTCCTCTCTCTCCCAGGACCCGGGCTGAAGGTGAGAAACAGAAGGCAGAGACAGTGCAGGCAGCGCTGGAGGAGGCCCGGAGGGCACAGGGTGCTGCCCAGGGTGCCATACGGGGAGCAGCAGTTGACATACGGGACACAGAGCAGACCCTGCACCAGGTGTGGTCTCCCTGGGATATCAGTTGGGCCAGGTTATGAGCATGCTCTATGGATCTGTTTAACCCTGGGCCCACCCATGGCAGGTACAGGAAAGGATGGCAGGTACAGAGCAGGCACTGGGCTCTGCAGGCAAGCGGGCTCGCCAACTGAATGCTCTCCTGGAGGCTCTGAAACTGAAACGGGCAGGGAATAGCCTGGCAGCCTCTCAGGCTGAAGAAACAGCAGGCAGTGCCCAGAGTCGCGCCCAGGAGGCTGAGCAGGTGGGTTGGGGCAGAGCCAGCTGGAAGACCTGGTGGGTGGAGGCTGGGCCACCATCCTGACCCTATCTTCTGCATCCACAGTTGCTACAAGGCCCACTGGGCGATCGGTACCAGAGGGTGAGGGAGCTGGCTGAGCGCAAGGCCCAGGGCGTGCTGGCTGCGCAGGCGCGGGCAGAGCAACTGCGGGATGAGGCTCGAGGTCTGCTGCAGGCTGCTCAGGACAAGCTGCAGCGGCTGCAGGGTGAGGAGCAGGGCAGGTGGGCATCCGAGATCTGGGGCTATGGGAGTGGGACCCCTCTGCTAAGACCTGCCTCTCTTAGAGCTGGAGGGCACCTATGAGGAGAATGAGCGGGCGCTGGAGGGCAAGGCAGCCCAGCTGGACGGGCTGGAGGCCAGGATGCGTAGCGTGCTTCAAGCCATCAATCTGCAGGTCCAGATCTACAACACCTGCCAGTGACCCCTGCCCAGGGTCTACCTTAGTACCCTGCCCCGCATGCGAGACTGTGCCTATGCATGGAAGAGTTCCCGGCCCCCCAATAAACCGGTGTGAACCCCCACTGTGTTGTCCCGACTCTGATTTGGCACGGGCGGGGTCTTTGGGAGGAACTTCGGGTATGTCCCTGGCCCGGCCCAGGCAGGGCGGAGCTCCGCCCCTCCTCTCGGGCCCGCCCCGGAGCTGCCGGGAGCTGCGTGCACCGTTCTCGCCGGAAGTGCGTCACCAGCTTGGCGCTCCACCTCCTGGAGCCGTAACTATAAATCGAAACAAAACAAGCCACAGAGGCGGCGGCAGCGGTGCCGGGACGGGGGAGGGGCGCGCCGGAACCGGAACCGACCCAACGCCGGAACCGGAACCGAGAGCAGGTTGCCAGGGCCCGAAGAGGGCTGGTGGTGGCGGCCTCGCTCGGTGAGTGGGACGGGCAGCCAGTCGCCCGCCTGGCCGGAGTGGGGAAGGCCGCGGCACGGGCCCGGGGTGGCCTGTTCAAGGTCACGGGCCGTGCCAGCCCCGACTCCTCGAGCCCCGAGGCGCGCTGGACCTGCCGACGCCGGCGGGGCCGTTACGCTACGCCCGTGGCCGGCCTCTTTCTCGAAGGGGGCTGGCGGCGAGCAAGGCGGCTTCCTGGAGGAGGTGGTAATGGGCCTGGGGTTCGGAGGCTGGAGGTCGGTCGCGGTCCGGCCGAGGCACTGGTCTGTGGTCAGTATCTCGACGCGGTCGTATGAGGCCGGCTTAGGTCCCCAGACAGCCCCTTCCCCGCCTCGATGTCCCCCGAGGATGGGGGAGGGGTGCGGCCTTCGGCCGGGACCTGGGTGTGAGGAAGCGGCAGGTGTTCGCCCCTCGGCTTTGGACCGGCCGTCATTCAATCCAGCCCTTCAGCACCACATCTGACTCCAAGAAGGATTGCCCCTCCCCCTCCCCCCAACATGCACACACCTTGGGGAGCACAGATTAGACACTCTGTCCTGCTACTGGCTCAGGGCAGACTTGACGCTGTCAGGCGTCCTAGATCCATGGTTCATCCTTACCCTCATCTCAGTATCTGGTTTTGAGGAACTTCGTTTTGGATGGAGAAATGGCTGAGAATCCACTGGCCCGTCTGTGGGGAAACTGGGTAGGAGGTCTTTGTGGCTCAGAGCTGGGAGCAAGTGAATGATGTCTGTTCCAGTCTCATACGCCCCTTCCTGCCGGGAGGAAGAATGCTGAAGGGGCAGGGTGGCATCTGGATACTTTTACCTTTTTTACCCTAGCCTTTGCAGGCCCTTTGCTGCTTGGGGTAATGGCTGGGGAGAGGGATCTCTCTTGGGATGGAGAAAGAAAAACTGAGCAGTGCACAGGAGCAAGTTCCGGCAAGGGTGGGAAGTGTCAGGAGGCAGGTGGGGGTGCTTTGGCCACGGGACCTTGGCTGGGCAGTGGCAGCACCTGGGCTGGGTCTGTTCTCAACCACAGAGCCTGATCATCCTGCTGCTTGATTGTCTCCTCCTTTCCTGTCTTCCTCCTCCACCTCCTACTTCTTGGGTGGTGACTAAGCAGCCAGTGAGAGTGAAGGAAAAGTGAGCGCCCTGCCCAGAGCACCAGCCCTGTGGGCTGGAGCCATGGCTCCTCTCTAGATTGGTGGAGGAGCCTAGTCCCAGGCCATAGCTGCCTTGACCTGGCTCCTCCTCGGCCAGGCTTCCAGCTTTGTGGGTCTGTTATGGCAGGCATTGGGGAGGCTTGACTGGTAATGCTTGCTGTGTTATTTATGCTCCCTTCAGAATAGCTTGAGGGAGTCTAGGGTTACGTCAAGTGGTCGGAAGATATTGCTCCGTAGGGTTAGGAGTGTCCTGGGTTGCTGAGCCCTGGCTGCAGCCAAGGAGCAAGTTGTTGGGCCTTGTCAGTGATCACTGGTCCCTTCTCGTTAGGCTGTGGGTTCCTTGCTGGAGAATTTGGCCACAGAGTTGCCAAGATAGCTGGGCCAGGAAGGAAGCGCCGCAGCCCTGACCCAGACGCTGTTGCCGACCCCGGGGCACTCTGGCTGTCAACTAAGCGGCTCAAGATGTCTGGTGGGGCCAGTGTGACGGGCCCAAGGAGAGGGCCTCCAGGACTGGAGGAGGCCACTAGTAAGAAGAAGCAGAAAGATCGAGCAAACCAGGAGAGCAAGGATGGAGATCCTAGGAGAGGTGGGAGTGATATTCCCTGGGTGCTCACGGCCTTCTCTGTCCCCCCTCCCCAGCTGGATTTACAAAACTAGGGGTTGGGAGCTGGTGGGGAGAAGTACGTTCTTGAAGAGGTGACCTTTTTTCCCTGTTCCCTCTGTATTGGTCTGATGCTGAGAGAAGGACCCATGGCAGGCTGGGTGGAACCTTGACTTTGAGGGCTGAGTAATTGGCCAAGGTTCTGAAGATGGTGCTTGGTGGGGTGGTAGTGCCTTGGAGGCCGCCTCCCAATCATGGTCTCCTTGTTCTTTCCTTTATTGTCGGGGTCAGCGTCCACTCGGGAGGAGCAGACCAAAGAGGGTGAGTAATGAATGGGCCCCAAAGGGGCACTAGTGGAGAGGAGGGAGCTCTGGAGGTGTAACTCCCATCTGGAGCAGTCCTGTTAGGGCTGGGGCTCTTGTACCTGCTTATCCCTCTCAGGAGCTAGTGGATACTCTCATGATCTTTTTGCCACTCTGTTTACAGAGTTGTTGCTTGACTGGAGGCAGAGTGCAGACGAGGTAATTGTTAAGCTGCGCGTGGGAGCGGGTGCTCTGCGGCTGGAGGAGGTGGATGCTGCGTTCACAGACACTGACTGTGTGGTGAGGCTTCCAGGTGCGTCCATCTGCTCTGAGCCCAGAGCCCAGAAATACATTTGAGTCTTCTGATCTCTCCTGCCCCAGTTCATTGCCCCCACTCTGTCTCCAGATGGTCGGCAGTGGGGTGGTGTCTTCTATGCTGAGATTGAAAGTTCTTGCACCAAAGTGCAGGCCCGCAAGGGTGGTCTCCTGCAGCTGGCACTGCCCAAGAAGGTGCCTCTGCTCACGTGGCCCTCTCTCCTGGTGAGTTCTGGGGCATGAAAGGGTGGGGATGCTCAGGGTGAGCAGGGCCTGACTGCTGTATCTTTGACAGAAGAAACCTCTAGGGACCCAGGAGCTGGTGCCAGGGCTGCGGTGCCAGGAGAATGGGCAGGAGCTATCTCCTGTTGCCCTGGAGCCAGGCCCTGAGCCCCACCGGGCCAAGCAGGAGGCCCGGAACCAGAAGCGGGCCCAGGGTCGTGGCGAGGTAGGCGCAGGGGCTGGCCCTGGGACCCAGGCAGGGCCCAGCGCCAAGAGGGCTGTGCATCTCCGCAGAGGGCCTGAGGGGGAAGCACGCAGGGATGGTCCTGGACCGCGGGGCGATGCCCCACCCTTCCTGGCTGAGTCAGCCACACAGGTGAGGCGGGGTCTCTGGCTGGGAGTTGGAAGTTTGGGGGAAAGGCCATGGTCTATATTGGGGTCCACCTGCCAGACCCAGGGCTGATCCTGCCCATAATTTCTCTATGAATAGGCTGTGGCTGAGGAACAGCTCCGAGTACCACTGCTGACCCCCCAGACCTGCCTCCTGGGTTCAGACGAGAGTCAAGAGAAGGCAGTGTCCCCCAGGAATGACCCAGTCTCCCCAGCAACAGCCCGGAGCAGAGACACTGGGAAAAGTGACTGCCCCAAGGAGGAGGTGGCAGTGGCAGCAGATGCTGCAACCTTGGTGGATAGTAAAGGTGGGGACAGGGTTGAGCAGGTGGAGCCCTAGGCTGGGTTGCAAGGTTGGAGGGCAGGTAGGGAGTAGAATAGTAATAGACTGGAACTTGTCCTGGGTGGCACTGAGCCATGGTCCCAACACAGACCCCGAGTCCATGGTGAGCCTGGCATTTGTCAAGAATGACTCATACGAGAAGGGGCCAGACTCAGTGGTGGTGCACGTGTATGTGAAAGAGATCTGCAGGGACACCTCTCGAGTGCTTTTCCGTGAGCAGGACTTCACGCTCATCTTCCAGACCAGGTGAGTGGGTGGACAGGAGATGAGACAAGCAGCGTGCCACAGGTTGAACAGCATATCTCATACCCTTCCTCTTGCCCTGCCCCTGCTCTCCCTCTGTAGGGATGGAAACTTCCTGAGGCTGCACCCGGGCTGTGGGCCCCACACCATCTTCCGCTGGCAGGTGAAGCTCAGGTGGGTGGTGCCCGGCCCCACCCCATGCCTGTTCCATCCTGGGCTCCATCTCCCTGGTCTGTCTAGCCCAACATCTGCTCCACCTTAGTCCCTGAGTTTAGTTTTTTCTCGTAGGAACCTGATTGAGCCAGAGCAGTGCACCTTTTGTTTCACGGCCTCTCGCATCGACATCTGCCTCCGTAAGCGGCAGAGTCAGCGCTGGGGGGGCCTGGAGGCCCCAGCTGCACGAGGTCTGCACACGAGCTCCCTTCATTGCCCAGCCCCACGTGGCCAGGACCCTACATCACCACATGCTGCTAACCACCAGCCCTCTCATTCCCCCTTTTTAAGGTGCAGTGGGTGGTGCAAAGGTTGCCATGCCGACAGGTCCAACCCCTCTGGATTCAACCCCTCCGGGCAGTGCTCCCCATCCACTGACAGGTCAGGAGGAAGCCCGGGCTGTGGAGAAGGAGAAACCCAAGGTTCGATCTGAGGACACAGGGCTGGATGGTGTGGCAGCCCGTACCCCTGTGGAACATGTAGCCCCAAAGCCAGAGCCACACCTGGCCTCGGTGAGAATCCTAGGGTAGGGAGGACCAAGGACTGAGGCCAGGAAGCCTCAAGGCTGCTCTCTCATAGCCCCCTTGTCCCCACAGCCTAAGCCCACATGCATGGTGCCCCCAATGCCACACAGTCCTGTAAGTGGAGACAGTGTGGAGGAAGAGGAGGAGGAAGAGAAGAAGGTGTGTCTGCCAGGCTTCACTGGCCTTGTCAATCTAGGCAACACTTGCTTCATGAACAGTGTCATCCAGTCTCTGTCCAACACACGGGAGCTGCGGGACTTCTTCCACGGTGAGGGCAGGGCCTGGAGCCTGGGGGAGCGGGCAGAGGGATGCTTTCTCCCACTCACACCTCTACTTGA